GCCGATCTCTCGTTTGAGCCCACGGGCATCAACGCCTGTCTCGCACGCTTTTATATTAGCTTTGTTGCGACGAACCAGTAGAAACGTATTCAACCCTGAGCTCACAATTCCCATTCCAATGCACCCAAGAGTGAATGCATGACCCAACACATACTTTGGAGGCTCTCGGTAGATTTGGGCACTCACCACGCCAGCGATATTTCCGAGAGTCTGATTTATTCCCAGACCGATCGCCCTCTTGAATCTTGGAGCCAGGTTCGTGGCCAACCAGGCCTCGTTCAACCCTGGGACGTACAAGCACATACATATGAGATAGCACGCAAAGTACTTGACACCGCTGCTTGTGTTTCCAAGGATGAGTGCGTATCCAACAACCCCAAACATGTCTAGGAAGATGATCAGCGGTCCCCTTATTCTTGTCTTGTCAGATATTCTGGCCGCAAGAATAAAAACGATGCCAGAGAGCATGTAGCAGGGTACTGTCAGATATTGTGCTTGAAGTGAAGTGTACCCAAGATCGCTCCGTAAGATCGACGGTAAGAATGTGGAAAACCCGTACATAAGGATATCTTGGCAAAATTGGATAATCGTACATAGATACACTTTCGGGTCACAAAACGCGGCAAACGCTTCAGACTTTTTGTCACCATCATTCATCATAAATAATCGCCGCTGTTCATTTCTCCATTCAAGCACTCTTATTTCTTCTTCTCCATTGGCGACCTCTTCTGGACTGTTCGGCATTCCGAACATCATCCAAAAGCTCGCTGCAAAAGACAAGAGTCCTTCGATCAAGTACAGATATCTCCATGGAGCCAGCCCAGAATTGATCTTTGTGATTCCAGTTCCAATGAGACCCCCAAAAGCACTAGAAAATGCAGATGCTGCAAACAAATATGACACACGCTGTGAAAGTTCGGACTGGAAATAAAAGTCTGAAATGATCAGAGAAATTGAAGTGAAAAACGAGGCTTCGAAGAGCCCAAGCAACAGTCGGCATGCTATAAGTGATCCGTATCCACTAGCAAACATTGTAAAAAATAGAAACCAATGACCATAATGCAACCATGCACCCAAGATACTCGCGTTTTTTGTTGTTGAAGTAGCGCATCATCAGCAAAACGCCTGGAAGCATGAAGGGCAAATAGGTAGAATAAACTATCGAGACCGCTGTCGAGTACTGTGCATCAGAGATTCCAATATCAGTGTTCATACCTGCGACTTTGGCGTTTCCGATATTGGATCTGTCCAAAGCGGAGAAGAAATACATTGCCGAAAGGATGGGCATTATTCTTAAATCCATGTGGCGAATCAATCGCTTGTGCGCAGAAGGAAATGGGCACTCTGTGGAGACTAGTGGTGCAATCTCAACCACAACGCCAGCCCTCTTCATGGGATTTTCTGACTCGAGCATAAGTTCATCTCAAAGATATTTGCCGAGGCTTTTATATTTCGAGTGGTCCGTTTCGATAAGATTTTCTGATCTGACACGGAAAATTATGCATGCTTGCATTGACAGACGTGTGTTGCTTCCCAAATAAGTATTACTATGGCGATTGTGCCTATCAGAATCATGCACTTCTGCATGTTGCAAACTCTATTGCTCGCCCATTACATTTACGATCCATTAGAGTGTCCGATTTCACGTCATTTTTGGCACATATATGCACAAATGGAGCTTGTTTTCCGACTATATGATATAAGCATTGCTGGCTTTATCAAGTAATGCGTGGTTCATAATGTGATACTGTTTTTTTCTTTGGTTACGGTATAACCACGTATCATCCTAAAGGTTTTATACCCTCGCTGGCAATGACCAGCACCAACATCACATCTTTTGTACGAGAGATAATTGGGCCTCGAATTTTGTCTTTTACCGAATTACCAAGAGCTGAGATGTGACCCCACATCCCCAGAACACAGGAACCTCAATGTCATAAATGACAGGTTGTCCACCAAAATCCAGGCGCTTCAAGTCGAGAATTCATAGTCTCTTGGCTCCATCGTAGCCCCAATAAACTGGCCCTCCGTGTGTTTTCTTAAAGCTTGTAGTAATTTCACCGACTGCTGGTACGTCTTCTGGTTTTCAGGGACGCGCACTGATGATTTACGTCGAATTAGTGAGTGTTCCGGACGTATAAAGGTTTTTAGTGGTCTTGTAAACGGATACTCCACATCCAAGTGTTAGATGCCTAGGACTAGTCTATTCTCACAAAGTTCACGTTCAAAGGAATGTGAGCAGCCAATTGAGAACCCTATATGGTTACTGGACCTTTCGTTCCTGACATCCCTTTTGATTAATCTCAGCTCTCCATTCTCGGAAATGTTGTACGAGCAAAAACCAGATCTTCAATGAAAATCATTCTTGAGATAACTTGAGTCGTCCACTCTGAAAGGATCACCCACAAGGGTTTGGCATAGTGGTGGGCATGGTACCGGGTTACGAAGGCACAGGTTAACGAACTCGTTTGCGTACTCTTTTGGGAGCACTATCAAATTGGCTTGAAGATATTTTTCACAGGCACCAGACGTGTGGGAGGTATGTTTTGCGTCTCGACAAAGCTGTCTAAACTATTGTGGTTCGAATTGACCATTTACCATCATCTTTAGTCTTTAACACATTTACTTCCTTATCATATAGTCGTATTTCCTTACCATTAATAAGGGTTGAGGATCATTGGGATGAAACCACTGCGTGAGTGAAAAATAATCTGAACTCAGAGCCATATCCTGCGAGATCTTAGATAATCAGTATTAAATTTTTTCTTGCCAATGTAAGACATTCTAGTACTGATTACGGGCTACTCCGCTTTTTGTTTTCGTGGGGAAATTTTCAAGTTCAGATTCAGCATCAAATTTTTCCGTGATATACGGAGTGCCGCTTTTTTCAAGTACCAGATTGGTCACTATCTAACAACTTGTACTCCTCAATTTTGCTGTGTGCCATGTATAGCTTTTTAAAATCCACTGTAAATGTATTAGACAATACTCTTCTACATTACACCTCCGAGTCCCAACTCGAGAACAAATTCTAACACCTCTTGAGCAAACTCATCCGGCATCTCTATATTAGGACAATGACCACAAGGCAATGTCTTGAGTCTTGAATTAGAGATGCAGCGATGTATCTCCTCTGCAAATCGCACTTGACGCACCTTGTCAAGACTACCATGGATAATAAGAGTAGGAAATTTGATTTTGTTCAGTTCAGGTATCAGATCCGTGTTCACTTGAGATTGGAGCATTTTTGCGGCTCGTATATTGGGCTCCCAAAGTGACTTATAGTAGTCCCTGAAGGCAACCACAATATCTGTGCCGATGGACTCGATATTCTGCACTCTTGCGGCAATATATTGGTCAATAAAGGCGTCTGTGATAGGCTGACTGCTTAGCTCTTTTACATGGCTTCTAATATCCTTGTGACCATTGGTGTTTGCCCCTGTATTCACAAGCACCATGCCTTTGATGGTTCCCTTCAAGTCAAGAAGCGCTGCTTGCATACAAATAAGTCCTCCCGTCGAGTGTCCTACCAGGACTACGTCATCATGTAGCATAGCTACTTTCAGCAGTTCAGAAGCAGCTTCCTGCAAAGACGGAACCGGATTCTGACGCATCCACTCATAGACGTACTTTTCTACTGGCAAAGCAGCAAAGCTTTCGGGAGGACACAGGTTCCCTGGCACGCAAATGAGAAACATTATCAGTCACGTACCTTTTTCAGTCAATTACCTTTTCTCCGCATTGGCAGATTTCGCGAAGGCTTGGCAACTTGCGGGACATTGAGTTCTAACTATAATTTTTCTTAGCTCATGCATGGTTGCACTAACCCCGCGTCAGGCCCGAAAACAAAATGTATATAGCTGCCTTGTGCCGGCTTGCTTAATCAACTATGTTTTTACAAAATTTGAGAGGTAATAAGTTGTCACTTGCCATTGCTCTGGCTGGTGCATCTGCTTGGATTTTGCAGGGATATGACCAAGCCATTATGAATGGTCTCTTGACAATGGAGACTTTTGAGAAACAGTTCCCAACGTTGAACACCAGTAGGCCAGGAGTTAACAAAGAGCATGCCACTGTAATTGAAGGAACAGTCGTTGCTATCTATGAGCTAGGGTGTGTGCTCGGGTGTGTTGCCTCTTACTTTTTCGGTGACAAGCTCGGTCGTCGTCGGTTCATAATGACAGTTTGTACGGTCACCATTATTGGTGTGATTATCCAGGACACCTCTTTTCATATAGCCCAGCTTATTATTGCACGAGTGATCACTGGAGTTGGCGTTGGAGGTATCACAGCTACTGTGCCGACATACGTCGCGGAGTGTGCTCCGGCACGTTTGAGAGGTAAGCTAGTGCTTCTCTGCGGGTCTCTAGCAATTTTTGGAGTGGCACTAGCTACCTGGGTTGACTTCGGATTTTATTTTGTCAAACACAGCTCCGTCAATTGGCGGTTTCCGATTGCGCTACAGATGCTCTTCCCGTTCATATGTATTTCGCTGATCCTTTTCCTTCCCGAGTCTCCTCGTTGGTTGGTGAAAGTTGGGCGTACAGGGGAAGCAGCAGAAGTGTTTGCTCTGCTGGAAGATAAGCCTGTCGAGAGCGACCAAGTTCAAGGAGAGATTTCGTTAATTCAGCAGTCTCTTTTGGAGGATCCCGCTGCTATTAAGGCTTCTCCGTTTTTCGAGAACCAAAAACAAGCATTTGAGGCGTAGTCTTATGGCTATTGGTCTGAATATTGGAGCTCAGATGACCGGAATTAATATTGTCACCTTTTACTCCACGAGCATTTTTTGAACAGCAGCTCGGCTAGAGCTCTGTTGAAGCTCGTATTTTCTCGGGGAGTATTCAGATCTGGCAAGCAATGTGTGCATTCGCTGCAATCTTCCTCATTGATATATTTGGCCGGCGGTATGCAATGATTCACGCCGCAGCAATTATGGCAATCTGTCAGTTTATCCTTGGTGGGCTTGCATCAGACCTTGAAAATCCAGCTACGGCGAAGGCTATGGTGGCGTTTTATTTTGTCGCAATGTATGCTTTTCCTGTTGGTCTTCTTCTTGTGGTTTTCATGTATGCAGCTGAACTTGCACCCCTTGAGTCCCGTGCCCAGATAACTGCTATCAGCACTGCATGCAACTGGCTATTCAATTTCTTAGTTGCAGAAGCTTCTCCAACGGCATTCAACAATATTGGCTACAAGTATTACTTTGTTTATGGATCAGCCGCTTTTGTATTGCTGGCCTGCTTGATTCTCTTTTTTCCCGGAGACAAGAGACAGAAGCCTGGAGGAAATTGATGATATATTTATTCAGTCTCAAACCTTGTTCGACACTGTTCGGATAGCCAAGACAATGCCGGTTCAAGGTGATGCTGACTACGACCCTGAAAGGAAGCTTTCTCTTGAAACTAAAGACGTTGTCGAGTATGTGGAGTGATTGATGATTTGTGATGCTTGCACTGTTGATATTTAGGGTTTTATGAAAGCAAGCTACAATCCCATCGCTATTTATTAAATGCCATTTCAATTTTTGTTGATTTTTAAAATTAAGATTGTGTCTTAAAGAAGCTTTTACTAAAATACTGTAATTTCTGTACTTCAAGTCAATATCAATCATGTTGATCTTAACTAAACAGTCGAATAAACAAGTCGGACAGCCTTGCCCGATGCATTCCGAACTACCTTTGCTGTGTACATGGGTATGGAAGGACTAAACAAAATTTGTGTGCTTTTCCTAGACCTGAGAAAATAGGGTGCAACTAAAGATAAGGATGCCAAAGAAGGGGATTAGTATATAATCTGTTCACTAGACTCTCCGTCTCATGCGTTTTTTTTGTGCTGCGGTATGACTCATCTCAGGGCAGCGACCATGCCTCCCGTATCTAGCTTGTGAGCCATTACCTTTATCGTCTGCATTGTTAAGACCTAGGGAGAGTGGCAGCGCATACACGACCAGATCTGCCAGCTTGAAGTAATCGACTATCCTGTTTTACTCGCTTCACGGTCATAAATGTTGGCCTATAGTTTGATGGATCTCGTTGCAAGACGACATCGTGACCTTGTCGTTGCCTTCTTTTAACCGGTATCGTAAATTACCAGGCTTGGAGAGTCTCCCAAGCCAGTTACTCCAAAGTTTCTGCAACCTTTTGAACTCTTAGGTCTGGTAACGTCCGGAACGAGGCTCTAGGCTATTGGTTGGGTGCATCCAGAAATTACGGTAGTAAAGTCTGTGCGTTCAATCTCCACAACATTTAGGTGATTCTATACCTTCATCAGCGATCCGGAGAATTTTCGTACGCTCATTTCTACCCAAAGGCAATTTCTCGTTGTGGATACCTCGAAAATTGAGTAATAAATTTGGGTTTTGGCCGAGATTTCAGCCGAAAAATAGCGAGGGTTGGTGCTCTCGACCCTGAGATTGACAAGACTCTTTTTTTTGAGGCACTCGACAATAATCTGACCTCGCAAGCAGTAGACTTGATATTTTTCGGAGTGTGGGGTTGCAAGCACGCAGCCTCGTGCAACAAACAAAATCCCGTGGTGCGGTATTTTAGTTTCGAGATTTTTTTATGTCTGCCATAGCTAGAAAAAGTTATGCTTACTCTTTATCATCTGCCTTACGCCGAAGGATTCGGCGCCAACGCACGCAAGGTTGCAATTCTTCTCAATGAGTTGGGAGTTGACTGGAAAGGTGAAGCTGTTCCAAGAAACGAGGTCCGTACTTCCTCTGAGTACGTTCTTCTTCATCCTGACCGTAAGGTTCCTGTGCTCAAGGACGGCGAGACAACTTTGATTGAGTCTGCAGCTATAATGCAGTATTTGGCAGAGGTATATGGATCCGGCAAGTTTCTCGAATCAAAATACGATGCCCTCGCATGGGTTTCGCTGCAAAATGGGTTGTCATCGGCAGTTGCGTCACTGGCCCATGCTGATGACGAGTCACAGACGGAAAAGGCGATCAATAACGCTAGGCACTACTTGGGACTTTTGGAAAACAAGTTAGCGTCTTCCAAGAGTGGATATATTCTTGATACAGGGTACACAATTGCAGACATTGCATGGATTGCATTTGTTGACGAAAGACGCAAGGAGAAGCTTCGCCTTGGAAGCTGGGACCAATTCCCAAATATTGCCAAGTGGCAGAAGAAGGTCCTTGCACGCCCGGCTGTTGCTAAGGCATACGAGAACTAGTAGGCGTGTTCGAGGTAAAGGTGATCCTCCAAAGGTGCCCAAGAATCAACTGTAGCCCGATGATAGTACGGATGAGGTGGTTTCAAGTGGAAATTCCTCCTAAACCGTTTACGCCTACTTCATTGAAGACTTTATACACGATATGGACCAGCTTGATGTTCATTGTTTTTGATAGTAAGCTATGCAAAGATCTTCAAGAGAGAAATCCGAAGTAGACGTTCATAACGATTAGAAATCACTATCGCATAATTTTTCATAGCATACCTCACGTTGGAGCGGTACAAAAATGGGCGCACTTACATGTGATAGTGTTTGGTAAATAGACTTTTTGGCTAGCATCCCGCTCATCGGAGAATATTCTGCTCAAAAATTAAGGATGCCCATTACGGAAATAGGTATTTTATCTTCAAATATTGTCGACGGAGATTTTTTTGCATACTTTTGCTACCCTATTAATATGATAACGACGAAAAAAGTTGATTTTTTTTGGTACAATAGTGTACATATATAAGAGTGTTACTGCAACCTAAAAAATGCTCCCATACAAACAATACCCTCCACAATGCAACTGTCTACCTTATGGGAACCGCCAATAGTGAATCCAAGAAACCTGAAAGCGACCTCAATACCAATTTTTAACCTATGGAACGTCTATGGAAGAAACTTCTTTTTCGGGTGGTTTGGTTTTTTGTTTGTTTTCTTTCTTGGTTCGCGTTTCCGCCTCTTCTCCATGGCATGTTGAAGAAGGACCTAAGACTCACTGCAGTGGATATATCCAATAATAACATATGTGGACTGACAGGAACTTTACTAGGCAGATTCATTTTGGGGCCCCTTAACGACAAGTATGGCCCACGGATTACTTTGACAGGCGTGCTGGTTGCAGGAGCAATTCCGACTGCATTTGTTCCTTTGGTTACAAATGTTGCAGGTCTACATGCCATTCGCTTTTTTATCAGCTTTCTAGGCTCCTCGTTTATTTGTTGCTCCCAATTCTGCGCTGTATTTTTTGATAACAACATTATAGGGACAGCAAATGCCATCTCTGCCGGTTGGGGAAATGCTGGAGGAGGTGTGGCATTCTTTGTCATGCCTGCCATTTCAAATGCGTTGGAAAATAGAGGTTACTCTTTGCACCATTCTTGGAGCTACTCTTTTGTGATTGGGCCGTTCTTAATTTTGATGATCACGGCAATACTGATCTTTGTATTTGGAAGCGACTGCCCGAGAGGCAGATGGTCCCTTCGTGGAGATATCCTTGGTATCAACATGGATAATATGCTCGTGAAGTCTGTCTCTGTCACAAGGCACTTCTCTAAGGAAGGAGAGCTCACTTCTGTATTTGTTGAGCCTGTTAACGCAATTGATAAGGTCGTGGTTGAGCCCAATCAAGACCAGGAAATTCTTGAAGTCGCAGATATCATAAATGGTGACGAAATCATTGAAGACCCATCGCTCAATGACGTGGTCAAGATCTGTTTATCCCCGCGGACAATGCTGGTCGGACTTTGCTACATGTGCTCGTTTGGTACTGAGCTTGCAGTAGAGTCTATTATTTCCAACCTGTTCGGGCAAAAGATGACAAACTGGAGCACCTCTAAAGCTGGAGCATGGGGCTCAATGCTTGGACTCCTGAACGTGGTGGCAAGACCAGCTGGAGGGATCATCTCCGATTTTTTATACCAAAGATTCAAAACCACAAAGGCTAAAAAGTTCTGGATGATCTTCACTGGCCTGATGCAGGGCATTTTTTTTGATTTGGATTGGACTAGTTCCGGAATTATCCATCGCGGGACTCATAGTGTCCGTTTCGTTTTTGTGTCTTTGGTTTGAGATGGGTAATGGTGCAAATTATGCATGTGTTCCCGTTGTGAATAGACATCACAGTGGTATTGTGAGTGGAGTTACGGGAGCAATGGGTAACTTAGGAGGCATTTTGTTTAGTTTAGTGTTCAGGTACACTATATCAAATGGAGTGAACAACTACTTCAAGGCGTTTTGGATTATAGGAATTGTTTGCACTGCTGTAAATCTGGTCTGTGTGCTTATTCCAATTAGAGAGGAGAGGCCAAGGAAAGCGGAAAATTGATTGAAATCTCGGTTACATTTTTTTATTTATGCAATGCAAGTTCAGTTTTGTTATTGATAAGATTATTTTTTTTTTGTAGTGGATCCGATCCTGTGATAAAGTAATCTGCTAAGCGGAGATTAATTTTAGGGACGGAAATTATGTAGTATTCTAAGGGGATGAACAGCCTGACAAATAAAAGCAGTTGCAAAAGTCATATTCCATTTTGTAAAACTTGATGACTTGCTCTGTTCCACCCTTGCCAGAGGACATCAGTCCTCGGGCAGCTAAGAAGAAGCTTGTGATTGTGGGCCTTGGCATGGTCGGCCTCTCATTTCTTGAAAAACTACTTTCGAACGACTCAAAACTAAATGAGTATAGCATAATGGTTTATGGTGAGGAGCCATATCTTGCTTATAACCGCGTTGGTCTAACCGAGTATTTCCAGCATCGTGAGTTCAAAAATCTTCTACTGTCGCCAGAGGAATTCTACCAGCTGCGCGGCGAAAAATGGAACTATGCCATTGATGAAAAAGTGGTTGACATAGATCGGCGAGCTCGGATTATTACCACAGACAAAGGAAACAGAGCGTCTTACGATGTGCTTGTTCTTTGTACAGGCTCTGCAGCCATCCTTCCTACCGATCTGCTACCACCTCTCACCAGAAAAAGCTATCGTGAAATGGGATGTTTTGTTTACAGAACCATCGATGATCTCTATTCAATGATTGATTATTGCCAAGGTGCAAAGAAAACAAGAGCCATTGTCGTTGGTGGTGGGCTACTTGGTCTAGAAGCAGCCAAAGCTCTCTACGACATGGAGTCGTTTGAGGATATCACCATTGTCCATAGGTCACATTGGCTGCTTTCCCAACAAATGGACCAAAAGGGTGGTTCTTTACTTACCAGCAAAGTTAAAGAGCTGGGGATTACCTGTCGAACTGGAACAACTGTGTCAGAGCTGCTATTTGACGAAGACCAAAATCTGAAAGGAGTAAAATACGATAACGGTCAAATTGAAGAATGCTCCCTTCTTTGCTACACTATTGGTATCAAACCAAGAGATGAACTCACCAGCTGTGGTCTGAATGCGGGTTCAAGGGGCGGATTTAAAGTGAATAACATGTTACAAACTTCGGATGAAAATATCTATGCTATTGGAGAGTGTGCTTCTTGGAATAACATGACCTTTGGACTGATTGCTCCTGGATATGAAATGGCTGATATACTGGCATTTAATCTCACTCAGGGTAAACTACACCAGCCAAAGGAGTTTTCTGAACCTAGTATGGGCACCAGGCTCAAGCTGATGGGTGTCGATGTTGCATCTTTTGGCGATTTTTTTGCAGACAGAAATGGGCCTAAATGGCTTCCTCGCGGATACGACAAAGAAGTTCGTGGCCTTGTGTTTGAGGATCCAATAGATGCAACTTACACAAAATTGCTTTTCACAAAAGACGGCAAGTACATGCTTGGAGGAATTCTGGTTGGAGACACAAGTAACTACACCAAGTTCTCAGCGATGATAAGAAAACCATTACCCAAGTCTCCTTCCGAGCTTTTGATTGGAAAATCGGGAGAAGATGACATGGAGATGCTTTCAGATGAAACACAAATATGCTCCTGTCACAATATCACCAAGGGAAAACTTGTGGAAGCCGTCAAAAATGGTTGCAGCAGTCTTGCAGACGTAGAAAAGTGCACTAAAGCAGGAACAGCTTGCGGGGGTTGCGAGCCGACAGTAAAGATCATCTTTGAAAAAGAATTGAAAAAGTTGGGTGGCAAGGTTTCCAACAACCTATGCGTGCACTTCGACTATTCAAGAGTCGACTTGTTCTCACTGATTATGGTCAAAAATTTCCGGAGTTTTAGGAGGGTCATGGAGGAACTGGGAAATGATCCGAGCTCGTCGGGCTGTGAAATTTGCAAGCCTACGATTGGCTCCATTCTCTCAACACTATACAACCGACACCTCTTGAAAAAGGAAGTTCACGGTCTGCAAGACACAAATGACCGTTACCTTGGAAATATCCAGCGAGACGGCACTTTCTCAGTTGTTCCTCGGATGTCGGCTGGCGAGATCACTCCGGAAAAGCTTGTTTCCATTGGGAAAATTGCTAAGAAGTACGGTGTCTACACGAAGATCACAGGAGCACAAAGACTAGATTTGTTTGGCGTCAAGAAGAGCGATCTGCTGAAAATATGGAAAGATCTCAACGAAGCAGGCTTTGAGAGTGGACAGGCTTACGGCAAGAGTTTGAGAAATGTCAAGTCTTGTGTTGGATCAACATGGTGTAGATACGGAATTGGAGACTCGGTTGGTCTGGCTGTCAGGTTGGAAGAACGGTACAAAGGCATACGCTCGCCTCATAAAATGAAGGGAGGCGTGTCAGGATGTGTTAGAGACTGTGCTGAATTCCATTCAAAGGACTTTGGTCTTTGCGCGGTGAGTGGTGGATTCAACATATATGTTGGTGGAAATGGTGGAATGAAACCAGCGCACGCGCAGCTTCTTGCCACCAATGTGCGTCCTGACGAGGTGATCCCTATTCTTGACAGATACCTAATGTTTTACATTACCACGGCAGATAGACTGCAGCGGACAGCTCGATGGCTGGAAAACCTTGATGGTGGAATCGAATATTTGAAGGACGTCATCATCCGCGATAAATTAGGGATTTGCAAAGACCTAGAGGCCCAAATGCGCCAGCTTGTGGCCGGTTATTACGATGAGTGGGCCAAGGCCGTTTCAGAAGAGAAAGAAAACCCAATTTTCAAGCAATTTGTGAATACACCTGAAAACCAGGATTGTGTGGAGATAGTCAATGAAAGGGGCCAACCGAGACCGGCAATGTGGCCCGAGAAAGCGGCCAACCAAAAATTCAATGAGATCAGGTGGTCTTCGGTGAGCTGGCAGGAAGTCTGTGAGTGCTCAGATCTGCCTCTAGCAGAGGCAGGGTCCTCGGCAACGGTTTTGGTTGGGGACACCCAAATTGCTCTGTTCAGAACTAGCAAAAACGAGCTCTATTGCTCTCAGAACATGTGTGGGCATAAACGTGCCTTTGTGCTAAACCAGGGACTTCTTTCGGAAGATAGTGACAAAAACTGCTACATATCGTGTCCGATGCATAAACGAAATTTTTACCTCAAGTCCGGTGCCTGCAAAAACGATGAAGCGCTGTCTATTGCGACGTTTGAGGTTAAGGAGGAGAACGGCAAGGTGTATGCAAAACTTCCGCCCTTAAAAGAGCTGGATGAGGTTCTGGGAACCTCCAAATGGAAGGTGACAAGTCAGGAAACAGAGGCTAAGCAGGTGCGCAAGATAACAACGGAGAAAAATTTAGTTGACAAAGCAATATTGCTCGATTGGTAATTTTCTGTTAGATAGATATCAAAGAAAAAAGTTAAATACTTAATGAACTTGCAGACCCAGAGGATCTGCACTTCGTGTAAACTATTGCGACGAAAGGACTGCGATGGCAAAGTTCCCTCATGTTTGAACTGCATTAAAAGAAAGCGGGAATGTATCTATCAAGCCGACAGCGATAAGCGAAGACGAAAGTACCATACAGATTATACCCAATATCTGGAGAAAAAAGTCCGTGTTCTACAGGACTTTCTCTCCAAAAACGACCCGCAGTTACAGCTTGGTGAAAATGGTGAACAAACTCAAATTCAGTTTTTGAAGCGGGTGGACGAAGAAGCAAAATTGACCACCCTTCTTAATGAGATGGATGATCTGCGTCTCGACAACTCCCCGGAGCCTGATTTTCAGTACGACGATCTTGGACCTTTGGTTGGAGTAGCCGGGCTCAACTTGTACTACATTGATCCTATATTCAAAACAGAGCTGCTTTCTTTATTCAAAAAACACTGTTCGGAGATCACCTATGCTATCACGCTCACATTACCCACCCTCGATACATGGGTTTTTTCGACCGACACGGACCCTTCCCATCAGCTGCTTATGCTCACCGTGTATGGGGTTGCTTGCTTATATTCTAAAAATCCACATGCGTCCAAAATCAGTAAATTACTGATGAACCAGGCTGCGCAAATTGCAGTATATGCGTCGAAGTTCAACTTAGACGAATACCTACTCCAAGGCCTTCTGCTTCTTTCTTGCTACGAAATGGGCATGGGCAATGACTCGATGTCTTATCTGTACATTTCGATGGCATGTTCTTTGACGCAGCATATGGGACTCCATATATCTTATGACGAGCATTCTTCAGCCGCCAAATTTGCACCTCGAACCACTCCGTTCCAATCTGCACTTCTATGGTCTATTTGTACGCAGGATAGAATTATCACGTCAAGGATTGGTGTGCCTTCTTGCATTCACTTTAAGCGAATTATCTCTCCTGTCTATGAAGTGCAACTCTCGCGGAACGATCCTAGTTATTTGGAAGAGCTTTGTTTTTGCTACACTACTCGCGTGTGGTATATAATGGACAGGTTTACAGACCAAATATGCTCTATACAAGGTGATTTAGGTGATACGCAGGAACGAGGAAAACTGCTTAAAACCGCTGAGCTTGCATTCCAGGCTTTGAAAAATTCATTACCAATGCCCTTCCGAGATGAAAAACACTCTAAGAACTACCATATAATAATGTTTCAGCTAAACTACGAAGCTTGCGTGGTATTGCTACACCGGTTGTTTATTGACGACCCTTTGTGCCGCAACAAATGCGTTACCTCGGCCACGGAAATAACCAAGCTGACTCGGATCCTGCTTGAAACAGGAGGCATCGAACGAGCGTCCTACCATTTTGCTTTCATTAGCTCTTTAGCAGCAATGATACATCTAGTGCTATACTCTGAGAAGCTACGTCCAGAACACCTTCTCAACTTGGAAACCTGTGTCACGGCTCTGAAAATTTCCGGACAACGATGGAAAAGGGGTGCACTGCAACTAGAGATGCTATGTGAATTTTCGCAAAGCCACGGAATCAATGTGCCAATTCTAGAAACGTTCTCGTCCAGGTGGACAAAATTTTAATTTTATTTCCGCTTGTTAAATTTTATTCTCCGTCTTATCTTGCAGAGATACTAATATAGTAGCTACTAAAAGGACTTCATGTAATTTCTCAAGAATTCCGGATAGTCGTAATGGATTCTATTGTCACTGAGGTAACCTATGGTCTGGAGATCAAGAAAATCAAAGATATCACGGAGCTACCTTTTCCAGTCAGGCAAGACTCTCCTCTTACCGAGGTGCTTCCAACAGATCTGAAGACCAAAGATAATTTTGTCGCTAGAGATCCTGACCTTCTTAGACTCACTGGTTCACACCCATTCAATTCTGAGCCGCCACTGACAAAGCTTTATGACTCGGGGTTTCTCACTCCAGTGAGTCTTCACTTTGTGAGAAACCACGGCCCCGTTCCTTACGTTCCTGATGAAAATATTTTAGACTGGGAAGTTTCAATTGAAGGGATGGTTGAAACGCCTTATAAAATCAAATTGTCAGACATAATGGAGCAGTTTGATATCTATTCAACCCCCGTTACTATGGTCTGCGCTGGAAACAGAAGAAAGGAGCAGAATATGGTAAAGAAGGGAGCCGGTTTCAATTGGGGAGCAGCTGGAACATCTACTTCTCTTTGGACAGGATGCATGCTTGGAGATGTAATAGGCAAGGCTAGACCATCAAAGAGAGCAAGATTCGTATGGATGGAGGGTGCAGATAATCCGGCAAACGGCGCATACGGCACCTGTATCCGCTTAAGCTGGTGTATGGACCCTGAACGGTGCATCATGATCGCATACAAGCAGAACGGCGAGTGGTTGCATCCTGACCATGGAAAGCCCCTTCGAGTAGTAATCCCCGGTGTTATTGGTGGACGATCAGTCAAATGGCTAAAGAAACTAGTAGTGAGCGATCGGCCGTCTGAAAATTGGTATCATTATTTTGATAATCGGGTTCTTCCAACCATGGTGACGCCAGAGATGGCTAAAAGTGACGACAGGTGGTGGAAAGACGAGCGATATGCCATATATGATCTGAACTTGCAAACGATCATTTGCAAGCCCGAAAATCAGCAGGTTATCAAGATTTCAGAGGACGAGTACGAAATTGCAGGTTTTGGCTACAACGGAGGTGGAGTCAGAATAGGCCGGATTGAGGTCAGTCTTGACAAAGGGAAGAGTTGGAAACTGGCAGATATAGACTATCCGGAAGACAGATATAGGGAAGCAGGTTACTTCAGATTGTTTGGCGGACTTGTGAATGTTTGCGACAGAATGAGCTGCCTGTGCTGGTGTTTCTGGAAGCTCAAGGTTCCTCTTTCTGAATTAGCAAGGTCAAAAGATATTCTCGTTCGTGGCATGGATGAGCGTATGATGGTTCAGCCGCGCACGATGTACTGGAACGTAACGTCCATGCTGAACAACTGGTGGTATCGAGTCGCCATTATCCGCGAGGGTGAGAGTCTTCGATTTGAGCATCCCGTGGTGGCCAACAAGCCTGGCGGTTGGATGGATAGGGTCAAGGCAGAGGGTGGAGATATTCTAGATAACAATTGGGGAGAGGTGGACGACACGGTCAAGCAGGCTGAAAGGAGGCCGCATATTGATGAGGATCTCGAGATGATGTGCAACCGGGAGAAAATGGACGTCGTTATCAAATATTCAGAGTTTGAAGCACACAAGGACAGCGAGACAGAGCCATGGTTTGCTGTCAAAGGCCAAGTGTTCGATGGTAGCTCGTATCTGGAAGACCATCCAGGAGGGGCCCAGTCGATCTTGATGGTGAGCGGCGAAGACGCAACCGACGACTTCATTGCAATTCACTCATCTTTTGCTAAAAAGCTGCTCCCTTCCATGCACCTGGGAAGACTCGAAGAGGTCAGTTCAGTTACAAAAGTGAAGTCTGTAGAGCAAAATGTGAAGCGAGAAGTTTTGCTCGATCCGCGAAAATGGCACAAGATAACGCTTGCAGAAAAAGAGGTTATCTCTTCCGACTCTAGAATATTCAAGTTCGACCTGGAGCATTCAGAACAGCTTTCTGGTCTGCCAACGGGTAAACACCTGTTTCTGAGGCTAAAAGATTCATCTGGCAAGTATGTGATGAGGGCATACACCCCTAAATCGAGCAATTCTTTGCGGGGTCGTCTAGAGATATTGATAAAGGTTTATTTCCCAAATAGGGAATACCCCAACGGCGGAATTATGACAAATCTTATCGAAAACCTCCAAGTGGGAAACCAGATCGAGGTCAAAGGACCTGTCGGCGAGTTTGAGTATGTCAAGTGCGGGCACTGCAGTTTCAATAACAAGCCTTATCAAATGAAGCATTTTGTTATGATCTCGGGAGGATCGGGCATCACCCCAACTTACCAGGTTCTGCAAGCTATTTTCAGCGATCCCGAAGATAGAACAAGCGTTCAGTTATTTTTTGGAAATAAAAAAGTTGACGATATCCTGCTTCGAGAAGAGCTTGACCACATACAGGAAAAATATCCAGAACAATTCAAAGTTGATTACTCGCTGTCGGATCTGGATCATCTACCGGAGAATTGGAGCGGAGTGAGAGGCAGGTTAACATTCGATATTCTAGACACCTATGTTCGGGGGAAAAAAATGGGAGAGTATATGCTACTGGTATGTGGACCGCCAGGAATGAACGGTGTGGTCGAAAACTGGTGCAATGCGCGCAAGTTGGATAAACAGTATGTAGTGTACTTCTGACCTAAGCAAAATCGAAATCGAAACTATCAAGAAATGTGGGTATGTTGTAAATATCAAGAACAGGGGTATCCGTTGCAAAGTCTCGATCCATTTCGCCTCTCAAATAGTTTTGGTAGACATCGTTCTGAGCAATCACAGACTCAGGTGGAGGCTGACTTCCCTGTCTTAACTGATCAAGAATGGGCACACTCACATTCCACTGTCTAGCAAGATTGTCCAAAACCTTGATATCTTTTATTCCCCGAGTCCAAACATCTGCGTATTCACTCAAGGCAACCACGAATTTCACAAATTGAGAGTTTGCCGCTGCCTGGAACGACTCATCTTTGTTGGCTAGAATAAACAAGTCAAACATGGCACACTGGAAGAGGAGATAACCAACAAAGTACGGAGCATTGTTGAAACCATGAAGTTCGGAGTATCTTTCCGTAACCTTGGATGCTGAGGTACATAGCTTGACCATCAGCTCAATGATAGTTTTGGGGTTTTGAATAAGATACGACCTGTGCAGCAGCAGGAGCACAACATAGTAGGAAAGGTGTAAAAGAAGAATCCGTTTATCTTTCGTGACAGGCTTCAACATTATTACATCAGGGAATGATTCATAAAGCGCGCGGAGATTGGAAAACCCCTGTTCAAGCAGCATTTGTCGATGGGAATTGTGCAAATAATCAGCTCGGAAAGAGTATATTTGTTGAGTGGACCGGTCATGGAGATACCACAGTCTTGAGTGGAAAGAGAATGTCAGCTCACTGATATATCTGTCAATGTTCTCTGGAGAGCTTTTTGGGCTATAAAATGGGGTCATGATTCTGAAATACTGAATTCTACAGCCACGACCTAACACAGTAGTTATGAATCTGTCTTGCAAAATGATGGACCAGAAAAGCGCATTCTTCAGTGGCGATGTAGGCACAACACTTGTTGAGGTACTAGATTCGGTAAGCTTCTCACCGGTATGAAGACCGATGTATTGGGCCTGGGAAGCACACATGGCGTCAAACAGCCAAGAACTTGAGTCTTGGGCCATCCCAAGCTCAAAGGATGACAATATAAGTAACCCCTGTAAGGTGTTTTCGTTCAAAGCTTCTTTGCACGCAGCGATTGCAGCGTCTTCGGCACTTTCAAGAAACGCATGTGTGATAGATGGTCGGACATAAGCCGAGGCGTAAGCAAAAATTGAGCACATCAATAAACGGTGGTCCGGCTCAACACATGGATACGGCCAGGATCGCACCGTCTCCAGTGTAAGCTGGGAAACATAGAAAAATTTGCCAAAGTTTTCCTCAAACACGTTGAAAAGGCGCTCTCTGAACTGTGGTGAGCAAAAATCGATATCCAGCAACTCAGTTTCCGGATTCAAAAAGTTCTCGTCTCCGTCCTCCACCACACCCTGCCGTCCTGAAAGCGGTCCATAAAACTCCGTTTTATCTCCGTGCTTTCTAACCTTCCATGCGGTGGACACAATTTCCTCCAGGGCATTGATGTTGGTGTACTGTCCTCCCATGTGTCCTAGCTGAGCAAAGTCGTTATTCTGAGTTAACTGCGGTGGCTGTGGGAGGATCGAACTGAGATCAAAATCTTTCAGGGTTTCGGTCCGCTTGATGAGGTTAGCAGCATGCAACTCCAGAAGGTCGGCCTTGACCTCCAAATAATCGATGTGAGTCGAGTCGTACTTTTTTTTGCGCCGATCGTTCTCGGAGCTATATTCGCAGCCATCAGCGTTATTATACTTGATACATGTTGCACACGGTTGTGCTCCATCACACTTTCTCTTTCGTCTTTTGCAAAACAAGCAGGCGTTGGAAAGCAGCTTTGGCGGCCTTCCAGGGACGGAAGCGGACATGATGAAAAAATAGGGTACGAAAATATTTAAATGTACATCTGTTTAATCTGACTCAGGATCTCCAAGTTTGTCACCGAAAGGCATTTTTTTTTTGGTATTTTTCCATCTGGCCCAGGATCTAGACACTGTTTGCAACTCCAGGGCTTTAGGCTCCACTGGCTGGGCCAGTTTTCGCAAAAACTTCTTGCACTGGTTAGAGCCATACCTATGGAGAAGCTCATGTCTGCATCAGATAGCTCCCTGGCTACCCCTTTTGGGAGCTGTGATTTCAGTTTCCGAATATCCGATCAACTCATACCCAGTGTATCGTAATCGTCTCTCTTTTGAAGGTCTCGTTTGAGATGTTGCGTGCTGCATCGAATTGAGAGACAGAAAATCGTTCTCCCTGATTTGAGACATCCATAATTTATACACTGGATTTTAGTAGTGCAAACCCGTTGCGTAGACTTACAAAAAACTGTCAGTGAATTTATGGTACTAACGGTGTTAATTTCGAGAAGCTGGTACTAGACATACACTGTTGTAGGATTCGGTATTATATCAAACGAAGTAAAGAAGTGCCAGGAACCCGAAGAAGAGAGAAGGTGCTACAGAGCGGGCTGCTCCACCTTCGAAAGTGGTCACCGAGCTGGCCATGGACAGAGAGGCAGAAGCACTGCTCTTGACCGTGCTGGTGGAGAGGGTATATTGGCTGGCAGAAAGAGAAGTTTCATCGCCAGAAGCTGCAGACGAAGTTGTCCGCTCAGAGGACGAGACTTGGCTAGCGTCGGAGCCCGAGGCTGAACTGGAACCCGAGGCTATGTTAGAGCTAGCGTCAGATGTGGCGGCAGAATCAAAGCCGGAGGTGGCGTTGGAGTTCGAGCCTGAGTTAGAGCTTGAGCCCGAACCGGTTGCAGAGTCGGTTGCAGAGGTGGAGGTATCAGCTGGTGTAGAGGTGTTATGAGAGGTTTCCGAGGCCGTGGCTTTGGCGTTGTCTTGGGCTGCGACGGACGCCGTTTTTGATGCCATGGTCAATGATGGAGAAGCAGTAGCCTCAGAATATGCATCCGTGTCATCTGGGTCCGAGCTGGCAGAGCTGCCAGAGTTGTCAGTGGAGCCAGAGTTAGACCCAGAACCAGCGGAGCTGGAAGAGTTTCCGGAGCCAGTGGAAGAGGGGTCGGAGCTAGAGGCAGAGGCAGGGCTAGAAACTGTACCTGGGTCTGCAATGTTGGATTCTCCCGGGTCAGAGACGATTGAAGCTCCAGATGCTGCAGATGCAGACGTCTGGGATGAAGAGTCTGAGTCGGAAGTAGCAGGTTTTGTTGGCGAGCCAGATGACAATCCAGAGGTGTCTGAGGCTCTAATTCCATTTCCAGAGGCAGATGTATCACTTGAAGTTCCTGTAGAGGATTCAGTAGAAGAGCTGGAGGAGCTGGAAAAACCTGTAGAGAGGTTTGTGGAACCGACGGAGCTACCCGTAGAGCTAGCAGAAGGATCTGAGTAGCTTGCAGATAAGATGCTAGATCCCGTGGAAGCTGTTCCAGTAGAAGAGCCTGGAGTTCCTGTAAACGCGCCTTCGGTAGACTCTCCCGCAGTGGCCGTCGAGGATCCTCCAGTGTTGGTGGATGATCCTGCGGGCTCCAAGCCTGTGAAACTTGGGTAGCTGGCGAAAGCGGAGCTGGAGACAGTGGAGCTAGTTCCGGTGGAACTCGAGCCAGTGAAAGTAGCAGATTCCGTAAATGTCTCAGACGAGGCACCAGAGGTAGTTCCAGAAGCAGCCGTGGTTGAGTCTTCCAAAGTATCACTTGTGGCTGCTGCCGTTGAAGCGCCACTCAAAGCTGCAGTTGTACTTTCCCCAGAGGAAGGATCAATCGATGCGGTGGATGGTTGGGAGTATGTTTCTCTTGAAGTTCCAGAAGCAGAATCTGACGAAACTCCATTTGTAGCCTCCGAAGAATGTGTTGCGGTCTCCGACTTCGTGCTAGAAGTCATTGTGCACGTTGGGCAAACAGTGCTTGCTTCGGAGCTGCTGCCTGTGCTCTCAGAGCTGGAAGTGCATGTAGGACAAACGGTACTGGTGCACGTTGGGCAGGCAGTTCTACTTTCTGACGCGGCAGAGGAAGTCAAGCTTGCAGGGTCCGTGCCAGATGCCTGTGAAGATGTGGCAGGCGATGTGGCGTTTCCACTATCTGACGTGGATGATGTGGAACTGCTGCTGGAAACGGTATCTGTGGCCGGGGATGTCGCACGAGACGAGGCTCCTATTGAGGCGACAGAGGAGCTCGAGCTCTCTGGTTGTGCTGCTGTAGATTCAGAAGCCAAAGAGGCGGCAGCGGAACTGGTCTGGCTACTGGTAACTGATCCACTAGAGCTGGTAGCCGAATCTGGTGCCGAAGAGAAGCCGTAGCCAGAGGAGGCAATTGGAGTAGCGATGGATGAGGCACTAAAATCGCCAGTGAAGCTAGAACTTAGACTGGTTTCGGAGCTGACTCCAGCATTGGATGCACTACTTTGGCCTGAAATTGCTGTTTGACCAGAGCTGATGGTGGCACTAGGCAAGGATAAACTGGTATTTTCGCTAGAGCCACCTGAGCTAGATGTGACGCTGGCCTGGTCGGAAACATAGCTAGAAACACTGGAAGCAGTGTTGCTCGAGACAATAGACCCGTTGGTGCTGCTGGAGAAGCTGTCCGCACGGCGAGACGTTGCCGTGAGGGAGCTGGAGAGGCCGCTCGAAGCAGTCTTAGGAATGTTGGAGGTTGCACTGGAAGCGCTAGAGGCAGCACTAGATGAACTCACCGTCGTGACTTGGCTTGAAGCGCTGTTGAAAATGGAGCTGGAGGCAGCACTGAAAACATTACTCGAGCTGCCAGCAGAAACACTGGAAATTCCACTAGCTCCACTAGGGACACTGCCAGAAGCGGTAGAGACAGCAATTGAGCTTGAACCGTTCGACAAAGTACTGCTGGATGCGTTGTTTTGGCTGGAAATTGCACTTGACGCTCCGGCAGTTGCGCTAAAGCCCCTTGAATTGTATCCTGATGTGGATATTGAAACAGAGCTGAAGCCATAGGTAGAAGCGGTGCTCGTTGCAGTAATCTGGCTAGAGCGAGAAGCACTGCTGGAGCCGAACATGGATGCCCCACTGGATGCCCCTGTACTGCTAGATACGACTGACGACTGGCCATTAATACTAGAAGCAGTGGAGCCATGCTGGCTGGCTGATTGAGATATTCCCGCCGTACGGGAGGCTCTGGCAGAAGTGCTTCCAGCACTCGAAAAGCCTTCGCCAAATGAGCTTTGTGCAGACGATGAAGCAGGGGTAGGGCCAGATGATGCAATCGTCTGGCTAGAGTTGGCATTCGAGGAACTGCTGTAGCTGGACACACTTGACGCCGGACTAGTGTTGGATACATTCGAGGCCGAGTTTTGGGTGGACAATCCGCCCTGAGCAGATGTAAGGCTGGAAACTCCGGCTACAGCGCTCGATCCAGACGCAGTCACAGTGGAGAAGCCACCGGAGGCCCTAGTGCTGCCAGAGAATCCGCTCCAAGTAGCACTGAATTGGCTAGACACTCCTGATAAGCTGCTGGAAGTGCTGCTGGAATCTCCACTGCTGGTTCCACTGCTGACTCTACTGGTGGCTCCACTGAAGGTTCCACGGGAATGAGAGTTGGAGACGAATGACGAATGACCAAGGGTCTGGCTGGAAGCTCCCGATTGACTTTGGTTAGAGCTGGTTGCACTAGCGCTGGTACTGGAGAAGACGGAAGAGCCGGAGGAGCCAGACAAAGTGGAAGTACCGCTCGATTGGCCACTGCCAGCACTGGAAGAGCCAGACACACTGCTGTAGCTGCCGCTGAAAGAACTACCGGAAGTGGTGGCTGCTTGACTGGAAGCATTCGATGCGCTGCTTTGACTGCCGTAGCTAGAAGCAGTTGATGTGCCGGTGGCGCTAGAGAGGACACCTGAGGCCCTAGTAGTGCTAGAAGCGTATGAACCGGTGTTCAGGACTCTGGAACCACTGGAGCCATTAGAGCCATTAGTTGCAGTGGTTGCACTGGCTGCACTTGAAGCAGAGTTCCGGGCAGAGGTTGTAGTTTCCTGGCTAGAGATTCCGCTGGAAGTACTGGAGCGTTCGAAAGACGAGGATCCAGCACCGATAGATGAGGCGGAAACGCTGCTAGGTAGAGCGCCAGAGCTTTCAGAAACACCGTATCTGGATGCGCCGCTAGATGCACTGGATGCGCCACTGGCAGAGATGTTACCTTCGGAGCCAGTCAAAGTGGTAGCTGGTAAACCAGTGAAACCGGTGGAGCTAGCTTGGCCTGAGGTCACTGGGACAGAGATGTAGCTAGAAATGCTGGAAGTTCCGGAAGTCAACGGAGTGGAGCCGGAAGAAGAGCCGGAAACGCGTGAGCTGGAGCCAGAAAATGGTCCGGAGCTGGCCAATGCACTGGATCCTTGGTTGGAGGCAGTGGTAAACTGGCTTGAGGCAGAAGATGCGTTAGAAGCCGCATTTCTCGAGATGGCAGAGGTAAAGCTAGAGCTAGAGTCATAACTTGAGCCAGATGTAGCAGTACCTGACCCATAGACTGAGCTAAAGGTGGCAGTGGTGGAGGCATAACTTGAGCTAGAGCTGGAAGAGCTAGGGCTCACATTGGAGGCGGAGCTAGGACTAGAGCTTAAACCAGAGCTTGCGGTGCTTGATCCATAACTTGAGGCAGAGCCTGCGGTGCTTAATCCGTAACTTGAGGCAGAGCTCAAACCAGCGACAGTAGAGCTTGAGCCATAACTTGAGGCAGAGCTTGATCCTGAGATAGTAGAGCTTGAGCCATAACTTGATGCAGAGCTTGATCCTGAGATAGTAGAGCTTGAGCCATAACTTGAGGCAGAGCTTGAACCAGAGCCTGCAGTGCTTGATCCGTAACTTGAGGCAGAGCTGGAGCCTGAGACAACAGAGCTTGAGCCATAGCTTGATCCAGAGATAGTAGAGCTTGAGCCATAGCTTGATCCAGAGATAGTAGAGCTTGAGCCATAACTGGAACCAGCAACAGCAGAGCTTGAGCCTGAAATAGTAGAGCTTGAGCCATAACTGGAACCAGCAGCGGCAGAGCTTAAACTAGAGACAGCAGTGCTTGAGCCATAACTTGAAGCAGAGCTCAAACCTGATATAGCAGCGGCAGAGCTTAAACCAGAGCTAGCTGTGTTTGACTCATAACTTGAGGCAGAAGTAGCGGCACGGGAGCCGGAGACAGCAGAGCTGAAAAGGCTTGATCCAGGAGTGGCAGAGCTGGAAGAGCTGGAACCTGAGCCGCTTGAAGTAGACCCATAACTAAATCCAGAGGTGGCGGCGCTTGACGTATAACCTGAGCTTGAGGTAGCAGAGCTGAAAGTTCCGGAATCGGAGATAGCAGTGCTAGATCCATAACCTGTGCCAGAGCTAGAACCGCTGGACGAGCCCGATCCACTACTTGACGCAGATCTGGTAATGGTATCAGAGTCAGAGACATTACTTGAAGCAGAGCCAGTAGAGCTGGATCCACCTGAAGCCTGGTTGGAAGTTGAGCTTTGGCTTGGAGAGGGTGTCTGGCCAGAAGTCTGTCTAGACGAAAACGAATAACTCAAAGCGGCCGTCGACGATGCAGAACTTGTGTCAGAGGCTGACAGGCTACTCAATGTGGAACTTGAGCCCGTAGAAGCCAATGGCAAGCTGCTGTAGCTGGTGTAAGAGCTTCCAGAGAAAGATGGGTTAACGGCGTAGCCGGAGGAATAAGTGACGGACGTAACCGTCGAACCTGATTCCGTCAAGCTGGCCGAGCTGGAGACAGACAAGGCAACAGACGTCGAGCCGGAAATAGTAAACGAGGCAGAGTCGGTGCCAGTAGAATTTGAGGTGTCTGACACTGGGACACAGACAGAATACCAATCGTTCTGGTACTCACAGTAGTAGTCGTCACTGCAGCAGTCGGTTGGGCCAATCCAGAGAATACCTCCACACTGGATACCATCGAGACTACACCACAAGTCTGCGGCAGAGGCCGACATTGCTAAAAGCAAAGTCGAAAACACAAAGTGGAAAAGCATGGGGTATCTCGGGATTTGCAAAGTTGGAATAATGCTGCAAAGGTGGTGAAAAACGGAGCCTTTTTATTCACTCACCAAGATGGACATCCTCTAGTGCGGCTCTCTCGATATGGTTGGGAACAAGCAGGTTTTGGGGCTTCCCGAGCTTGAGAGACAAGCAAAATGTTGGCACCAAAAGAATGCATTTGCAGGAAATTGCATTTCCCCATGCATAAATCAAGTTTTGTCAAGCTGCATTCCTATCCCGGTTCTGCAAACATTTATTGACTGAGATCAACTTCGAACAAAGATGATCTGCGTTTTGCAAAAATGGGGATATATCCCAGATTTCTGGCTGTACGTGATACATCTGCAATTCTCGGCGCTCTTGCCGGCCCACGATCCGGGCTTCACCAACCAATGTTGCGCCTACTGCACGCTTGACCAAAAGCAATTTTAGTTCCGAAATTAGGGTAGGTAGGTGGTCAGCTAAAAAATTTTAATTCTGTTTGCTCTCGGGACTGGCGTCATAGATTCTCATCTATGCAATCACGGAATTGGGAGGGGTACAACCAGCGAAATCACTAGGTTCACAAAATTCGAACACCAGTCACTGGGCAGCTCGATATTTTCTTGAAAATGTCAAGACAGAGTCCGAAGGTGCGGGATTTTGTTCTTTGAAGCTCGCGCGCATGAATTGCATACCTTGGTGTACGGTCAATCATGCAGGAAACTGTATAGGCAGCAGTTAAATTCGAGCACTGCGCAGCATGCATACAAAACTTTCAAGAGCCTGAAAGCACCAATCGGCTGAAATTCTGCAAATTTCAGTTATCGTCCATATGTACAATATTTGTTAATGCCACGAATTGGGGCTTCCAAGCCCGATTATTCTCTATAACCAGGCCCAACCTTGATCCTGTCCACTCCCGGATGTAAAAAACCCATTCTATTCTTCGTACGTCACACTCTGCCACAAGCCTCCCCATTCTCACAGACCTCGCAGTACAGTTTATGAACGTGCTTAGCTGGACCAGGATTTTCAAATCTGAGCTGTCCTCGCAGGTTTACGACGATCCCGATGCCATCGCTGCTGCAAAGCTCACCTGGGCAGCAATCTTAACAATCGCGTATTGCGCAGCGTGCCGCATCCCTATTTACGATGCGCCCACTGTGTGCCCCAATTGGAATCGCTCGCCGCATCGGGCAACTGGTTCTTCTGTGTTCACATATTTGGGCTTGCGTTCGTGATTGTAGTCTTAAAATTTGAGGCCTAAAGCAAAATGCTTTCAGTTTGTTTCAGTGCAGCAGATACTTTTTCCAGCCGATTGATTATGCGCGTTCAAGTTCCGCCTAGTAGCCGCGGCAGCCTATCCTACCCGAAAACCGGTAAGGAGCTGTTGCCGCTTCTGGCCGTCGCACTGACATCGCTCGTCACGGTCTTCACCAGAACGCTCAGCTCGTCGTGGTTGTTGTGAATTGTCTCTGCAAGCAGCAAATGGCACAGGTCGAGAAGTTGGTTCAAAGTTCTAATTTTAGCCAAGTCGTCGTGCGGGTTTTTTTTTTTCGATAGCGCCTTGGCGAGATTTCACTCGTGTACAGCCAGATCTCGTTCACGCTCACCAACGTGGACTTGACTTCGTGCAAAGGTTCGTCGGACAGTCAACTCGCCAAATCCAACCGGAGCTCGGCAGACGAGATCGTCTTGGGCAACACACTCGTCTGCAGCTTAGGGCCGCCCAATTTATTGGTTCAAAGATCTTTCTACTTGCTCTCGTTCTCTAGCACACGCTTGTACGCGTTCCTGAAACACCTGAGGTCACCTTCCTGCCCTTGTTGTCGAGACTAACGATGTTCTAGTTCAACCGCTGCTACTCCCTGCAAAGATCTGTTCTTCAGCCGTCTGACTGGAGGCACCGTATTGTGAAGGTCGGGAGCATCCGGAATCTACTTGTCAATGCGCTCTGTAAACAGGGCGTCGCCACAGAGAGCGTGCTCCTGTTTATACCTGCTATTTGCGCTGTCGCAGTTGTCTCTCGAGTGGTCCACCTTGTTTTGCCAGCACAACCCAAGCGAGCTCAATAGGTTCACCTCAGAGAACGGCACGACGGAGCACACCAGCGATTTCTGCCCCGCTTATTCGGCCATTTTGGTCTTTTAGAGGTCGTTCCGGCGGGCCACAGTACGAGGTCAACAAGCCCTTGTGCTGTCTTTACAGCGACCAAAGCAATCTACGGGACCAATCACGCACAACAAGGCGCTCTAGACCCTTAAATCTCAACGGACTGGCCCGATGCTCGGTCTTCTTGTACGCCAGCCGCTAGGCCTCCTGATATAGTTGTCTTTGCACAGTAGCAGGTTCTGCGCCATATCCAGACACACGTTCATTAAGTTATAAAAATCGGTCAAATGGGTGGTGGCAAATGGGTAGAAAGGTGGGTGTGGCCGGTCACGGCATTCATGGAATCGATCAGCGATTTATTGAGCATTTTGAAGAACAGGTTGCGCACGGAGTATTTTTCGAATCTAGAGAGCATGGCGTAGGATACCCGATGCTGTCGGCTAAGATTGTCTTTCGCGCCATGCTTGGGCTGAGTATTGTGTCATGGCGGTAGAAAAGAGTGTATTTGCCGCGTCGTACAAAGAAATCAACAAAATCAAATGAATAAAATTAAATAAAATAGAAAATAAAATAAATTGATAAATTGTTATCTATTTATTTTCAAGGCTGTTTTCTTCGATAAACCATGTGCTCGTTGTTGCCGCAATAGCTGTGATCACAATATAAATGAAGACAGCATGACAAGACGAGTCGTAAGCAGATATGACTGCATTGCGGGCGAATTCGGGACACTTTGTGTGGGCGTATATGGTGCTGTGCAGAGCCTTATCTACTATCTGAGCGAGTTTATCGGGAGAGTTGAACTCTGCGGGCACGTTGGTGAGGTTAGAGAAATTGTTGCGCAAATCACGGGATAGAAAGCCCTGCAGTATCGCAGAGGCAATCGACACGCCAATAGTTGATCCTGTAGATCTGAATCCGTATTGAATCGAAGTCACGAGAGCCTGCTCTTTGGCAGTGACAGAGGAAATCATGGCAATTAAGTCGACTGTAATCACGGCACCAGTACCTAATCTTGATGGCACCAGCACTGCATACTCAAAAAACGAGCTGCTTTCTGGCTTGAGCGTGTACACAAGCGTGCTTCCAAAAATTGCAAGAAGTCCGTACATGTGCATTGCGACTCGGTACTTTCCAGTCTTTTTAATTCTGTAACCGGCATATAGCGACCCCACGGAAATGGCCACTGCAGCTGGAAGTAGACGTATTCCGCTCTCCATGGATGTCATATTTTTCACTGAAAGCCAGTAGAATGGAACATAATAGATGATGGAAAACACGTTCATTGAAGTGAACCAGCAGTTCAATGAGGAGCTGAGGACTGTCCTGTTGGCCAGCAGTTGAACGGGAATAACGGGCTCAGTGGCCACTTTCAGCTCATAGAAGTAGAAAAGCGTCAGGAAGATGGAACCCGAGACCAGTAGACCCTTGAACTCCAGACTTGAATAGGCAAATTCCTTGCCCCCTGAGGAGGCAGCGTACATTAAAAGCAACAATGACGCCACGAGCATTGAGGAGCCTATAAAGTCCATCGTCTTCACCTTTTTCCAAACACCATGGCCCTCCAGTCCCCGGCCTGGCGAACCCTTTGGTAGCTCCAAAAACAAAAACACGAGCACTGCAGAAAGTAGGCAGATAGGCACTTGGATCAAGAATGCTGACCTCCAGCCAAAGTAGTGGTGAAAGAATCCAGCAACAACTCCGCCGCTTGCTGTTCCAAAGCCAAACGCTATATTCATGTAGCCCTGGTATAAACCTCTTTGACGAGTAGCGATCACGTCTGATAACGTGATTGTGGACAATGTGTTGAAGCCACCACCTCCTATACCGGTGATGAATCTTCCAAAGACAAGAACCCAAAATGAGCTCGTCACTCCACAGAGTAGACATCCAAAACCAAATAGCACAGTACAGATGATGGTGATGCTTCTGCGGCCAAAGATGTCGGATATTTTCCCAAATAGTGGCTGGAAGGCAGCACAGGCTAGCAAATAGCTCGTCGCGAGCCACGAAGAGTTTGTAAGCTGGTTCAAATCGCTAGATATCACACTCAGTAGAGTAGCAACAATGGTAGCGTCCAATGAGGACAAGAAAACATTGACAAAAAGGCAGCACAAAATAATTTTGAGATGAGAGGGTGATATTGCACCAGCTGGTTTCTGAAGCTCTACAGAGCCATATTGCCCAAAAGACGCTAACGATGACTCATCCGTGTTGATAACTTCAATATCTTTTGCCACTTCCCGAGCCACAATGGCAGCAGAACCTCCCGAAGGATCTTGCAAAAGCGGTGTTTCTTCCGGCATTGAAAAATAATTGATATGAATGAGACTTTTATTTCAGTCGTGAAAAATATCTCAGGTCCCGGCGAATAATTTCCGACCTTGTTAATTAGCTATATATTATATTTAACAATAGACTTGTATCCGCGGACAGCCTCATACAAATCTCCAGGCAGAATGTACTCCTCGGCACTATGGGCCACAAGAATGGAGCCTGGACCGTAGAGATACCGCTTGGCAGTCTTACCCTTGAAATACGGAATATCGGTGGCATAGGAGCATGCCACCAGTTCGAAGCCCGGAACGTCATAGTCCAAATATTGTGGCTCCAGCATTTGAACGATCGTGTAGTTAGAGTGAGAAGTGGAAAAGATCCTGTCCACAGTCCGATTAACTAGCTGAATGTCTTCTGCCACCCTTATGTATATTTCTGCCTTTGCGGACGGAGCAAGTAAATTGGCGGCTACCCCACCATGAAAAGTGCCAATGTTCACTGTAGTTGGGCCGAGCAGACTAGAATAAGGAAATTCCTGCTGCAGAAGATGCTCTATTCTGCCAAGCAGGTACTCAGCAGCGCTGAAACCCTGTTCCGGGTATCCTGAGTGACATGACACGCCCACAGCATTGACATCAAAACGAAAGTTTCCCTTGTGTCCAACGCTAAGTTTGTTATCTGTTGGCTCCCCAACAATGACGGCATTTGACCAGGAAGCATTGAGGCCGTTGACGGCAGTTAAAGACCCTATACCGTTATATTCTTCCCCCACAACAAACAAGAGAGCCAAGTCACCTTCACGAATAACTTTCTCATCCCAAAGCTCCAAAAAAGCAAACACCTGAGATGCAACACTTCCTTTGGCATCGCAGGCTCCACGCACATGTATTTCGTCTCCTTCAAGATGATATGGTATCTTTCCAGCAGGATTAGTGTCTATATGAGAGGTCAGCAATACCTTACTATTCCTTTGGTCTCCTAAATAAGCATAAACGTTCTCACGTCCTTCTTCGACGAGCTGCAACTCAACGGTCAGCCCCCGGGCAGAAAGATAGTCAGCGAGATAGTGCACCACTTCGTATTCGTTCCCAAACTCAGAGTCAATCTGTGTGATCGCCTTATGGAATTCAATCAACGACATCTCCCTCAAAGGGACTTGCATGGCAACGGCAGCCAGTACGTACAAGAAGAAAGCCCAAAACATCGCTAGCTAACTTTTTTCTTCTCGCCGGATTTTATTTACCGGGACTCTATCTCAAATATTTCCATTTTCATTTATCGTATGGAAAGAAGACGAGCTACGGTGACTTGTTTGAAATGTCGCTCAAAGAAGATCAAGTGCGATGTCAGTGTCTTACACCCTTGCTCCTCATGTAGAAAGCATGGATTTGAGTGCATCAAGTTTGAAAAAGACAGACGGAAAGAGAGACACGATAGTAAATATATTGAGTCGCTCGAGGAGGAGGTCAAGTTGCAGAAAGACGTCCTTGCGCAACTTCAAAGGCACAGTGCGGAAATTGCACGACTACTTTCTGAGAGCACAACAGCACTGAGCACTGTTTCGAAGCCGACAGAAGACAAGGAAGACAGAAATGCGTTGTATCCTTGGACAGAGTCGTTTCCGCAGTACAAAAATCAGTCACTCGCCGTTTACGGGCCCACAAGTATTTTTGATAGCGTCTCGATCCCAAACTCAGAGATGGACGAAGTCGATCAGCTGAAGCACCTCAATTCCAATTCTGAGATTTTGGAATGCATCAAACTGTTTTTCAGATGGCTTTATCCCGATATGCATTATTTTCTTTATCGGGAGGCCTTTCTTTTGGACTTTTTTCATCCAAAGATCGACTTTTCATATTGTTCGAAAGAGCTGGTCTTTTCGATATGCTCCATCGGCTCACTGCTTTCTGATAATGAGCAAATAAGGCAGAAATCGAAAACTTTTTACGAAAGAGCACGCCAGAGTCTACTCAATAAAATTGATCACCCTACAATTACTTCTCTGCAAAGCTTTCTAATTTTGGGATTATACGATATCTATAACGGATGCAACAACGGAGGTTGGATGCTCACAGGCATTGGGTTACGTATGGGTTTCAATCTGGGTTTCCAGCTCAGTCCAAAAAGCTATCATCCAGAAGCCAACGAAGAAGTCAACGAAACCAATATCGGTATTCGCAGCCGTGTTCTCTGGGGCTCCTATGTGGTGGACCACTTCATCAGTCTTATTTTAGGTCGTCCTAGTGTTCTCAAAATGAGCCAGGCTACAATGGAAGAGTCCAACACCATGCCCGACCTGTACTGGATCAAGGAGTTTACTTATACCGATCCGCAGAAGGTCGGTGAAACACCAAAACGCATTGATATAGCCAACCCTTTGAAAGCTACAATTGATCTTATAAACATCACAGAAGGAATGTTGCATGACATGTTCACTGGCACGGGTCTAAAAGAGCAATCGTTTGTACTGTCAGAAAAACTAGCACTTCTTCAAAAATATAATCAGCAGCTAGTCCACTGGAAAGAGAATTTGCCATCGGAAATCAGTTGGCGTACCAAGGACTTACTTGAAGAGGGCACAGATCCAACAAAAATGGCACTTAGATATTACTATTATATTGTCGTTCTCTGTCTCAATAGACCCTTTATCAGACATCGAGAAAAATGTCCACAATCAGTTTCCGTCTGCAAATCCACCATCAATGATCTCTATATGACTGTCATGACATTTACAGGGCTGCATGGATATAATCGGTGCTCAATCCTGATTATCTATTCCTCTATTTTATCCGTCTCGGTTATTTTGCTATCATCGGGCAAGAACGTTGCCAAATATCTGGAAGAGAACCCTGGAGCTGAATCTCAATTTTTTGACTTCATGGACGTTCTTCGCAAAGCTGGCAAGACCTGGAAGTTGGCGGAGAAATCTTACACCATGATACGGTCGAGATTACTTAATGATTATGGCTACGACTTTGATCTCGGCTATGCGGCGCATATCCAAACCTCGCTTCCCCAACCAATGCCCATGAGCCAAACTCCCCGTGACCCAAACCCGCTCGATAGTACTTTTGGTGGTCCACCACTATATATGACCTCCGAAGATATTGATATTTGGGGTTCATTGTTTCCCGATTACGATCTCGAGGAACCATTGGACCCGCTTATCAAAAAATAATTTCGGATTTTGATAGCCGTTGCATAAACTATAAAAAGCTGATTTTTGCAAAAAGGTGCGCAGCGATGACCGTCGGAAGCAAAATAGAACCCTCTGATTTTTGGGATAAGGCCGACAGTTGCCTTCTCAAGTACGGCGGCGAGTTTGTGAAAGAGATCATAGTTGGCTCAAAAGGCCTGTATGTGTACACAAATGAAGGCAGAAAGATCCTTGATTTTACCTCAGGCCAAATGTCGTGCTTGATCGGCCATTGCAATAGCGAGATCTCGGACGTTATTACTTACTACGCCAAGAATCTGGATCATATCTTTTCCGGCATGCTATCTCCACCAGTTGTGGATCTTGCTTCCAAATTGGTCTCTCTGACGCCTGACGGACTGGACAAGGCCATTTTTCTTAGCACCGGAGCAGAGTCCAACGAGTGCGCCATCAAACTAGCCAAAACTTACACTCAAAAGTTCGAAATTGTTGGCCTTTCGCTTTCGTGGCATGGCATGACCGGAAATGCTGGATCCTGCACCTACCAATCAGGAAGAATCGGCCATGGCCCAACCGTGCCAGGCCAGCTGATCCTCCCAGCTCCAAACGAGTACCGCTCGATTTTTAGACATCCAGACGGTTCCTACGATTGGAAGACAGAAATGCTGTATGGGTGGTCTCTTGTTGATTCTGCCTCTGTTGGATCTCTTGCTGCTGTGATTTTGGAGCCTGTGTTGTCTTCTGGTGGAATGCTCGTTCTTCCAGATGGCTATTTGAAGGAAATGAAGTTACAGTGCGAGAAGCGTGGAATGTTGCTCATTGTTGACGAAGCGCAGACAGGAATCGGCCGTGCAGGATCCATGTTTTCGTGTATTGATTCCGGTGTTGTCCCCGACATTTTGACCTTGAGCAAGACTCTTGGAAACGGGCTACCTTTATCAGCTGTGATGACTTCGAACGAGATAGCCAAGGTGACTGAGGAGCGAGGATTTCTGTTCTACACCACTCACGTAAACGACCCGATTCCTGCCGCAGTTGGGTCAAAAGTGTTGGATATCGTGCTGAGAGAGAATTTAGTGCAAAATTCTATTGAACGCGGTGAACAGTTCAGAAACGGACTACGAAGCTTGGCTAAAACATATCCTTGGATCGGGGATGTCAGGGGAAAAGGTCTTATGTGCGGAATGGAGCTGGTTAAGGACCGCAAATCAAAAGAGCCTTATCCCGAACTTGCTTCAAAATTAGCAACCAAAATGATGGACCTTGGGCTGTCTGCTAATCTGATTGCAGTCAAATCTTTTGGCACCACTTTCAGAATGGCTCCACCTATTTCTATCTCCAAGAAAGAGATGGATGAAGGGCTGGCTATAATAAAGAGTGCATTTGAGGCTGTTGTGGCCGAAGGTATATAATTCTATCAATCGTCGATCTCATCTACACTCTGGATGTACTGAAAGTAGAACACTATGATCTGCAGATGACTGTCGAATTTGATCCATTCGTTCACCCCGTGGGCAGAGGTCTCGACACTAGTATACTCTCCGGGTCTATACCGATAGATGTGATCAGAAAGGTTCCAGTAGTATTTTGTATCTGTGTTTCCCGGAGCAATACCTGGAGACACAATTATAGGGTTGTGGGCATTCGGGCCTTGATATTTGTCTGGCCAAACGAGCTCCTCATACACGTGTTTAATGTTTCCGGCAAATATTTTCCAATGGTTGTCGTTTACGGGAGTCAAAGGAGCAACATCGAAATACTCGTCAGTGTGAACCAGAAAGTCACCTTGAGGTGTTTGAGGAAATATTTCAACGACTGGCTCGTTTTTCAGCTGGTAGCTCAGGCCAAGACCGTACTTTTCAGCAACATTTTTAACGTTCCGGAGATACTTTTCTAGTGCTGAGTGGATGGATTCCTCAATGGCAACTCGCGAATTGATGGTCAACTGGACGAACTCCGGCAGCGCATTAGACTTTGCTCCTCCATGAATCACATCTAGTGCTTGCGATGTCTTAATATAGTATTTCAGCCACCGACTTGATTCGAGGTACTCTCTGACCTTTTTATTTGACAACGCACTAGTTTGGCTCTGGAGAATATTTTTCTTCAGCTCTTTGTCAATGGTAGCAGAATTTTCGGCTAGACAAACATATTGGTAGTATGTGGGGTTCTGTGGCGTGAAGTAAGACGGAAATGGGTCATTTTCAATTTGTATCATGAGATCTGCCATGATTCCCAATGAGGTGTGGTCAGGAGGCACAGAAGAATGGCCACCTGGGGTGCTTAGGTCAATCCACAGATTCAGAAAGCCTTTCTCTCCTGTTCCAGGAACAGCCATGGTGGTCCCGTCGAGTGTGGTTAAAGAAACACCTCCTTCATCGCAAATTGCATACATAGACTTAGAACCAAATTCCTGTTCCAGCCATTGGGCGTTCCTATTACGCACACCACTCACTTCCTCGTCGAAACCAAACGAAAATACGACAGTGCGACGAGGAATAAAACCCACTTTCATAAGCTCTTCGGCAGCCTCAAAGTAGCCAATGACCAGGTTCTTGCAATCTGAAGATCCCCGGCCAAAAAGATGCGTGCCGTTGTAATGTGCCTCAAAAGGTGGATAAGTCCACAAGGGGAGGGTCGACTCCGGCACTGGGCTGGTGTCTTGGTGGCCCATTAAAAGAAGTGGCTTAAGGGTCGTGTTTGTACCTCTCCAAATGTAGACAAGACCATGATAGTTGACCTTATGAAGCTCCGTGTTCTGATAGAATAAAGGAAAAGTCGACCTTAGGTAACTTTCAAAAATATCAAACTTTGACCAGTATTCAGGGTCATCCTCTACAGTAGCCGGGTCATCGTCGTGGGTTTCTGTTTTTATGCGAATGGCTTTTTGCAGCTTGATAAGAGATTGGTTGCGGAACTCAAGGTCATGTAAAATGGTGTCTATAACCTGACTGTTGGCGAGATAGGTCGAGGGTCTATGAGGTTCGACCATGGGACATTGAGGTATGTAGTCTACTGCTTGATTAGCTGAGTAAATTGTATAGAGTGCAAGAAGACCACCCACAAAGCACGTGGCCCACAAACTGACATAGGTCTGAAAACTCATAACCTAAATCTGTTGAAACTATTCATATTTATTTAAATTATATCGGATATCTAAAACCGAAAAAAGCACCCGATTCGGCAATCCCGAAGATAAGCTAGAGGGTGTATCTGAAAAAAATGTTCTCCTTGTCGGTCAAGTCCGAGAACTCGATATTCTCTGGAGCCAGCTCGGGCCGTGCCTCCTCCATGCGGTCACGCCTTATGTTTTCTGCCCTGCAAAGAAGGTAAACTCCCAAAATACAGAAGGATGCGACAGCCAGGCACACAACTATAGCGATCTTTGCTGGCACATAGTGAGGAGCATCTGAAGCGCGGTAGGTCTGGGGACCAATAAGATTGCCAACACAGTATCCAATCAGATAAATACCAGTGACAGTGATCTTCTTCGTGTGGCCCGGGGTGTTGCTAGCGAAATAAGAGAAACATCCAATAGGCCCAATTTGCATCAAGTTCAGCAGATAGTAACCAGCGAGCTTTGCGTGCGTTGCTTCACAGAAAGCAAGCATACAGGCAAACGGAAGGCATACCACAATAACTATACTGGTGGTCAGCAGCCGTGGCCAGTTGTATCTTTGGATCAGATACGCGATAATAGGAAGTCCGATAAATTCCACCACTCCCTGAGGACATCCGTAGAGTAGTGCGTCAGTAGCGGAGTATCCAAGGTCAGAGTTCAACAATATTGATCCAAAAGAGCTGATTCCTCCATTCGGAATGTTGAACGACACGGCGTAGAAAAAGAAGAGCCAGGTTTTCACGTCCAGCAGGGCCTCGATGCACTGGTATCTTTTGAACTTTTTGTTTCCAAAACCTTGGAAGTTCTCTCTCAGTCTCTCCACCACAAGCAGTTTCTCTTCTTTGGACAAGAACCATGCTTTTCCAGGAGTGTTTGGAATATGAACAAAAACGATGATTCCAGTCGTCAACGATATTAGCCCCACGACAATAAACAAGATTTTCCAAGGCTCGATCGAAAACTGGTCTGCTCGAATAGCGATACCGTAAGACATCAAAGATCCAAAGAACACCCCAAACCCGGCGGTACTGAGCCAAAAGGACACTCTCAAAAACGCCTCTTTTTTGCGGTAGTACTGAGACGTCAGAATAGTGGTGAAGACAGAGGCAGATGCTTCCGAGCAGCCCAGAAGTGTTCTTAAAAATATGAATGCTGCGTAGCTCTGATTCGAAGCTTGTAGGCAAATGATGACAGCCCATGAGAACATATATATGCTAAATGTTCTTGAAAGAGGAAATCTTTGGAGCGTGTAACCGGCAATCGGCTGGAAACATAGGTATCCCAAGTAGAAAGCTGAGGAGGTCCATGCGTATTGGTTACCAACCATGTTCATGTCAGTTTTGATTCCCATAACTGCCGCATAACCATTGCAGGCCTTGTCAATGTAGAACAAGGAGTATAGAAAGGAGACCAACGGCATCAAGAAAAAGTCGAGTTTTCGAAGAAGAGCATCATTGGTCTTCTTGTCGAGAGTCACCTCCTTGGACTCCTTGGCCAGCGCCATGGCCTGATCCACGTCTGCCCACTCGCGGTTCTCCAGGCTGCTCACCTCGTCCAGATTTTGCGTAGCTGTTTCTTTTTCGGACATTAAAATTCAGTGAAAGATTGCACGTCGTGCTCGATTTAAATATTTGATCTACATTAGTCTCGTAGAATTTCTTATCTCGGAAGTTGATAACCGGAGATCTCGCGAGAGATAAATGAAATGGTCCAATTTTTAAAGCTTTATCTAAAATCTTACTGAGAGGTGTTTGCGGCCTCAACAATGTTTGAGAGCGTGCCTCCAGCTAGTGGGGCTCTTGGCAACTCGTGCCCGGTCTTCATCACGACTTTTTCTCTCTCTTTCGGGTCGCCGTAACCACCTCCTCCTGGAGTGAGAATCGCGATATACATACCTTTCTGGAGCACGACATCTGCGAAGGCTCCAATACCAAACCACTGGACTGACCCATCCTTCATCTGCTTACCAATCTTATTGATACCGCGAGCACCACAGCATCCGCCAGCCATACCATAGGGAGATGTAGAACGCCTGAACGAGGAGATCGACGCTTCCACTTTCGTGGTGAATTGAATAATCCGCTGCAATCCGTCACCTCCCTTCCATTTACCGTCTCCACCAGTTCCTTTACGGATGCTCCAGTCCCATAAAATACACGGATACCGTTTTTCAAGCACCTCAGGATCTGTGATTTTCGTGTTTGTCATGTGACACTGAGTGCCCGAAAATCCGTCCGCTCCTTCTGTTGCACCGCTGCCGGCGCCGATAGTCTCAACCATACCGAAACCTTTAACAAGCTGGCCGTTTTCCAAGCCTCCAACACCAAAATGCAGGGCGTTCATCGATCCAGGCCCGCTACCCACCACCTGGTAGGCCTTAAAAATGGTCTCGGTTAGAATTTGAGAGCCACTGCCGTTTCCGGAGCTCACAGCCGCTTCCTTGGACGGGTTCAGCAACGTGCCTTCTGGCACAATAATCTCGATCGGGACAAGACAACCTTCGTTGAGAGGGATGTCCGAGTTGATGATACACCGTAGCCCGTAGATGACGCAGGCGTGTGTCACTGCAATCGGCGAGTTTTGCGGGCTGTACACCTGCTCTGTTGTGCCAGTAAAGTCGTAAACAGCAGAGCCGTCCTCTTCGTTGATATCTATCGTCACGACAATTTTAGAGCCAGTGTCGAGCACCTCTTCAGCGCGCAGCGGCAGCTTTCCGCGGTGCGTTTTGGCAAGTTTCTTGAGGGCTGCACGCACGGCCATTTCAGCCGTCTTCTTGACGTTTCGCATGTAGAACAACACTGTCTCGACGCCGTACTCCTTAAATAGATCCACCAACAAATTGACACCACGCTGGTTTGCGGCAATCTGCGCCTTGAGATCAGAAACGTTGTCTTCGAGCTTTCTGGTTGGTGAGCAGCCAGGAGCCTCTGCAGGCACTTCGATGAAGTACTTGTGTAGGCCTTCGTAATCAAATTGACCCTTGGAAACAATCTTCCATGCCTCGAACTGCGCACCTTCCTCGGCCAGACTGGTAGCCATGGTAGAGCCAGAACCAGGAGTGAGTCCACCTATTTCTGCGTGGTGTGCTCTGGAGGCTGTGAAGAACCGGATCTTCCCGTCGATGAAGACTGGAGAGATAATCGTGATATCAGGCAGGTGTGTTCCGCCTGCCACGGGGTGGTTGGTAGCAAGAACGTCGCCCTCGTGGATATTGTCTTTCCAGTACTCAATGGCGTACTTAATGGAGAAACTCATGGACCCTAGATGGACAGGAACGTGAGGCGCATTAGCCGTGAGGTTTCCGTCCTCGTCAAACAGCGCACATGAAAAGTCCATGCGCTCCTTAATGTTGGCCGAAACAGAAATTTTTTGCAACGTCCTGCCCATATCCTCAGCAATGAACATGAACCTGTTGGAAAAGACGGAAAGCAAAATTGGATCGACATGGTCCAAGGAAATCTCGTCCTGCGTTTTCTCGTTGTCCACGTCGATAATGATGTGTCTAGGTAAATTGATGGCTCTTGCACCCGGTGTGACCAGAATAGTCTGAGTTTCGTCCAATATCATTGCAGGTCCGGCTATGATATCGCCCATGCTGAGGTCTTTCATGAAGTACACCTTGGACATCATTTTCCCTTCATCAAAAGCGATTTCCTGCTGGCTCACCTCGACGCCACTTTTGACAGGCTGCTGTGCAACCGTTTCCAAGTCCTTATACGGCGACCGCTCCACCACCTTGGATAAGGCCCCAGTGCCCCTGACCCGCAAGTCATGCACAATCACGTCTCTTTCATCGTCCACGAACGTGAACTGTCTGAGATGCGATTCCCTGAAGGATGTGAAGAAATCCTTCTCTGCGTCCTGATTGATCATCAGCTTTGTTTCTGAACCATGGTAGCCCATGTTAAAGAAGACCTCAAAACGAATATCGGACTCCCTCAGTCCTTGAGATAGAAGTTTCTGCTTGGCTTCCTCTTTCAGGATTTCGCATTTTTCCAACAGCTCCGGAACAGCATCCTCCTTGTAGACGGCACTGGATGGGATCTGTTTCTCCACCACGGTGTCGGCCAAAGCTATGCCGTACGCCGAGAGAATAGACGAGTACTTGTGGATGACAACACGCTTAATCTTCAGAATCTCGGCCATTGGCGCCGCATGCTGCCCGCCGGCTCCACCAAAGGAAGCAAGATTGTGTCTCGTGATGTCGTAGCCCTTGGACTCGGTAAGCGTCCTGATCAGCTTTGCCATGTTGTAGTTGGCAACTGTTAGAAAGCCAAGAGCAACCTCCTCGACCGTCTTTGGTGAGCCTGGATTGTCCTTGTTGATGAGATCTGTAAGCTCTCTGAATTTTTTCCTCGAAATCTCCACGTCCAGCGGCTCGTTTGCGTCAGGCCCAAATATTTTCGGAAACTGCTCAGGAACAATCCGGCCAGTCACCAGGTTAGCATCGGTGACCGTGAGAGGACCGCCTTTACGGTAGCATGCAGGGCCGGGATGCGATCCAGCGGATTCGGGGCCCACAACGAAAATGCCGTTTTTATAGAATAGAATAGAGCCTCCGCCGGCAGCAACAGTGTTAATATCCAGCTGCGGCACGGTAATGTTGATTCCTGCCGTGTTGGTCTCAAAAACGTGCTCGTACTGGCCAGCATAACGCGACACGTCAGTGGACGTTCCGCCCATGTCGAAGCCGATGATGGGGACGCCATAGTCGGCGTCGTAACATGTTTCTGCCTCGCCCACAACGCCGCCAGCAGGGCCAGACAGCAACGCCTTGAGGCCGGTAAAGTGTTCTGCCGTGCACATACCGCCGTCCGACTGCATGAATTCGATTCTCGTGTGCTTTTCAAAGCCAGGCTTGAATCCTTTCAGCAGTCCGTGGATATACTCCTTCACCACAGGCGTCAAGTACGCATCGAGCACGGCAGACTGTGCGCGTGGCACTGCCTTGATCATAGGGATGATCTCGTGGGACGTGGTGATGAACTCGAAGCCCAGCTCGATAGCCAGCTCTTTCAGTTTTTTTTCATGGTCCTGGAAATTGTAGCCGTGAATCAGACAAATAGCCACGGACTTGAACCCGTTGGATCTGAGCCGAATCAGCTCGCGTTTGGCAGCATCAAGATCTATAGGCTTCAGGATCTCAAACACCTCCTTGGTAGTGCCCTCAACGAATTTTTTGCCATCAAGCAGCTCTCTGCAATCGTTCATTTGCGGATCTTCGGTATACGCAGGCATTGTGACTCTCTCGTCGATCTCAACGACCTCTTCGTACAGCACGCCCGGTTTGACAATTTTGAGCGCAAACAGGTCGGGTCTGCTCTGGTCGCCGATGCGCAGAAGATCCTTGAAGCCCTTGGTGGTGATAAAGGCACACTTGGCTCCTTTTCTTTCGAGAAGAGCGTTTGTTGCAACGGTGGTTCCCAGACGGATGCTGCTGACGATTGAAGTATCCAGCGGCTCGCCACGGGGAATTTTCTTTCCCTGGACATGTTCCAGAATTTTACGGATTCCTTCAATGTTGGCGTCCTCGTAGTTGGCAGGGTCAACAGAAAGCAGCTTAAAGACGTAGTCTTGCTGGCCCGGAATGATAGCCAGGAAGTCGGTAAAAGTTCCGCCACGGTCAATGGCAATTTTAATGTCAGACATGAGGATTTGACTGATACAGAGGTTGGGGATGGGTATTTATCTTTGAGCCTGATGCGCCATTTTAGGCAACTCCGCTTCCACTGATAGATACGCAAAAAAATAGATAATAGATTAAATAAAGGTAGAAATTTTATCCGCGCACTGATAAGCGGTTAAACCTGACTTACATCGGATCCGGCAGGCACCTCCGTCACAGACACAATAGCCTCCACCTTGCCACCTGCAGACTTTGATTTGATCACTTGGACCGATCCCAGCTTGTTCTGGGTGACATCGTCCTTGTCAAAAATAAGTGCAATCTCCTCCAAAGAGTGGCCTCTGGTTTCCGGAAAAACAAAATAAATGACACCGATGATCACCAGCTGCACTCCCAGATACACACAGTAGTATTTCCAGTGGATTGCATTCAGCGCAATTCCGTTCACAAAAATGTTGAAGAATGTGGTGGCATTGAGGACAAACATTGCAGAGAACAGCCCTTTTGATCTCGTCACCTGTGGCCACAGCTCTGCCGGATACGCTGTGACGAGAGGACTGAAGGCCACGTTGTTGAATCCCAGGCACAGGAAAATGAACACAATGATGCCCTGGCCCACATTCTTGCCTGTTTCCTGGTAAACCGCGGTGATGGTGGTTAGCGGAATATAGAAAATAAAGAGAGTGATCATGGACATCAACAACAGCGTCCGTCTTCCCACCTTGTCCACCAGCATCACACCCGTTACTGCGCACAGCCAGTTGGACAGCTGTAGACACGCGTTGATCAGAGTTTTCTGGAGAGTGTTTGTGATCCCGACGGCGTCCAGCACCGTGCTGAGATACGACGTAACAATTCCCGTTCCACACCAGGAGCACGAAGCAGCAGTGAAACAGCCGACAAACATCCGTTTCCTGTTTCCTGGAGTAGCCACGAGAGATCTCCAAGAAGCCACATTGTTGGCTTTCTGGGCCTCGATAGAAGCCATGATCTCGGCAATCTCGAGGTCGACGAGCGGGACGTACATTTCCTCGTAGCCTGCGTGATATTTCATGAGGATTTCTCGTGCTTCTTTTATCCTTCCCTTGGATGCAAGCCATCTTGGTGATTCAGGGGCCATTATCAACGACGGCATGAGAGCAGAGGGAAGAAACGCCTGCAAGGCGAGCGGAATCCTCCAACTGCTGCTGTTTGGAAGCGACCTTGTGCCGAAAACAATCCACGCGACCATCAGCGCACCGAAAAAGAACATTGAATGGTAGCCTGCCGAGAATTTTCCTCTGGTGGTTGGAAACGCCATCTCGTTGATATACAACGAGGCAGCGTAATTGCAGGCAAACGAAAACCCAATCATGATCCGTCCCATAATGTACGCTGCGTTGTTTTTGGCTGACGCGGCCACAATAGCGCCAATCCAAATGAAAAATGAGGTTGCAAAGATCACCAGTTTGAGGCCAAACCTGTCACAGAAGTAGGGCACGAAAAAGATGATAGAACAGGTACCGATAAAGGGACAAGAATTAATGAATCCTAGCCAGGTTCCGGTAGGGTATCCTGTAAATTCTTGCCACTGCGGCAGGGCTTGTATCGCGTTTGTCAGCGCTGAGTCGTAGCCGATCGCTGCAGCATAGAGGATGAAGCTGAACATATAAAAATTCAGTTTCACTAGATTGCGTCTTTGGTACCATTTGCGAGGGTCGTTTGGTAGAGCGGCGGAGATCTTCTCTCCCGCGAGGTCGAATGAGCCAGTCATAATAAGAGGTGTAAGTTTCAGAGCGTTTTATAGATTGTATCAGTGCGTTGCAACTGATAAGATTTCACAAAATAGTTTTTTAATGCGCGCGCATACGCCTGCGTCAAAAAATATAGATAAAAAGAATCTCCTAAAATGTTTGATTGGAGAGTCACTCTTTGGCAAAAGAGATCTCATCAAACTCCAAAAGCTGCTTGGTCAATTTCCAATCCGTGTTTTTGTACATTTCCAGCCCTTCTGGCTCACTTCTCCACTTCCATCTTTCTGCAGTTGCAGCATCCAGATGGCCCTCTAACATCTCCAATATATAGACCCCGATATTCGGAAGAAACTTAAATCCGTGGCCAGAGTCTCCAGACGCAAGATATACGTTGGAGTGGCCAGGGACCTTGTCTATGATGAAGTCTGAGTTTGAACTATCTGCAATCCAGCAAGTTCTGCTCCCCATAAAAGGTTTGGTAGCCAGTTCGGGAAAGTACTTGGTCAGCAGCTCGCGGGCATGGGAAAGGCAAGACTCCGGAATTGTATCCTTTGGCATGTCGCATTTGTAGCGCGGCAACGGCAATGTGCCTGTGGCGTGAGGATTTGCCACCGTGTTAACTGCTGCCGTGCCAGATATGCAGATCTTCATTAGCCCGGTTTCCTTATCAGGCGGGAAAAAATACCCAAGACCCGCGTCGAAAATCACCGGGATATCCTGCACTTTTGCAGCCTCGTCAGGAGTCAGCTGAATATGAGTGACAAAGAGCCCAGTGGCCGATTGCACGCCAGCAACGTTGATAACAAATCCAGAGCTCGCACCACACGCAACAAGAATTTTGTCTGCAGTGTAGCTGGCTCCAGATTTGACAGTTACAGTGGGCTTGCCATCGGTCTCCTCTATTCCGACGGCCTCTCCGGCCTCACCAAAAACAAAGTGCACTCCGCACCGAACAGCTTTTCTCCAAGCTGCTTTTAGAGCGTTAGAAGAATGTGCGTATCCGGCCCTGCCGTTGTAAACATAAGCATTCTCGGATGAGAACTCGCAGTCTCTCAGAGAGGGCAGGTCCCGTTTCAGAGATTCGGCGTTGTCGTACCGGGTAATCTTATCAGCCTTGCCCAGCTCACTAAGAACACCGATACTGATATCGTCAAATCTTCGTCTGTTGGTGTTGGATTTTGGGCACACAGACAATCTGCCGCACTCAAAGTAAGTCTCTGAATACTCTGGATCGGATTTCCAGGCTTCAATTGCATCAAGACTCATCCTGGCGTAGAAGTCGGAGTCGTACTCGCTCCGAATAATCTTGTTGATATCGCATGCGGCAGAGTACGGAGATGGTACGGTGTGTTTATCAATCACAGTAGCTAAATATCCCTTATTTTGCGCTTGAATGGCCGTCGAAAGCCCAAAAACGCCAGCCCCGATAATCAACAGCGACATGATCGGATACGAAGAATTGGTAGCTTGAGCTTTCTTTTTTGTAGCCAAGTTGGGTGGCACACGACGCGGGCGGCAAAGACGGCCAGAGGTACCAAAGTTTTTCCCCAGATTTATTCAAGTACCGAAAAAAGTAGCAGACATGAACATTATCGGAAATTACGACAAGCTGCCCACCGAGGCTCCTCAATTGCCTTCCAACGTTTTCAGCCTGTTCTCTCTGAAAGGCAAGGTGGCCAGCATTACGGGTGGCTCGACGGGAATTGGGTTAGCTGTGGCAGAAGCGTATGCTCAGGCGGGCGCAGACGTGGCCATCTGGTACAACAGCACAAACGCTGACCACGAGGCTGACAGGCTGTCCAAGACGTACGGTATCCGTTGCAAGGCCTACAAGTGCGCAGTCGGCGACTTTGACCTGGTCAGGGCCACGATCGATGCTATTGAGTCTGACTTTGGCACGATTCACATTTTCGTTGCAAATGCGGGGATTGGCTCCCAATCGGTGCCTGTGATCGATGCGTCGCTGGAAAAATACCGGGCAATCATGAACACGAATTTGGACGGCGTGTACTACTGCGCCAAGTGCGTGGGCCCAATTTTCAAGAAGCACGGCAAGGGTTCCTTTATCATCACCACGTCCCAGGCGGCCCATATTGTCACGGCGCACGTGTGGCAAGCAGCTTACAACGCAAGCAAGGCAGCGTGCATCCAGATTGCCAAAAGTCTGGCAATGGAATGGGTCGGTTTCGCCCGTGTCAATACGATCTCTCCAGGGTACATTGTCACCCCGATCTCCAAGGATGTGCCTGACGAGGAGAAAGTCAAGTGGTGCACGCTGATCCCAATGGGCAGAGAGGGGCTTCCTCAAGAGCTTGTGGGTGCATACTTGTACTTTGCTTCGGACGCCTCAACCTTCACCACCGGCGCTGATCTCATCGTTGACGGTGGTTATTGCTGCCCATAAATGTGCGGAAATGGCTAAACTTTTTTTTTCATGTTGAAAAAATATGGATATGAAGAAAAACAGCAAAAACGTGTAATCCGGAGTAAAAGACCAAGTCCTGTATCACCTAAACTGCCCGACCTGAACCCTTCACTTCGCCCGGGCCTAGCAGTGGTGTTCATCGGCTACAACCCCTCGATCCGCTCCTCGTCCTTGCAGCATCATTACGCACACCCCACTAACCTGTTTTGGAAATTATTTAACGAGTCGGGAATATTGAGCATCGTGACTAATGGGGCACACTCTCACCCCTGCGCCGCCAAGGACGACTGGGATCTGCTCCAATACGGCATCGGGTTCACGGATCTGGTGCTCCGCCCCACGCAGAACGCGGGGCAACTGACTAAAACGGAAATGGCCCACAACGTACCGAGACTGTGTGCCGAACTCAGGAGCAACCAGCCCGCCGTGGCCTGTTTCGTGGGGAAGGGAATTTGGGAGCAGGTGTGCAAGACGCTGGGCTACAAAGACGCCTTGAAGAGCTTTAGCTGGGGACGGCAGCCCCTCGATCTCGAGGGCTGCACTATCTTTGTGATACCTAGCACCTCCGGCCTCGTCACCATCAGCTACAAAGAAAAGCTCACGCGGTGGCTCGAGTTGGGTGCTTATGTCAGCAACCTCGGGGTTGATAAGACCGCAAAAACTTTTGGTGTCTGGGGTAAAACTCGCGGAGCGCAGAGTACCTGTGAAGAGTATAAAAAGAAGCCGTTGTTTCTGGATGCAGGAGACGCTGGGATGGTTCGGCACGTGAGCGGCAAGGACATCGATCATTTGGTTGACGTTTTGGTTCGTCTTCACGATCAGAAAAGCTCAGGACAGCGTGTTATTGTTGCCGTGTGCGGTGCGCCGGGCAGTGGCAAGTCCTTGATCACAAATAAGGTGGTTAACCGTCTGAATGAGCGCTTTGGCAAGCAGATTGGCGTTGTGGTCCCCCAGGACGGGTTCCACTACTACATGAAAGAATTGTTGCAGATGGACGATCCGGACACCATGGTTGCTCGACGGGGTGCAGATTTTACGTTCAATGCTGAAGGGCTGGTTGATTTAGTGAGGCGGATTAGAGAGCGTCCCGAGGAGGAAATATATGCGCCGAGCTTTGACCACAAAATCAAGGATCCAGTGGAAGAGTCGATTGTGATTCGTTCGGAAAACGAGATCGTTATTATCGAAGGCAATTACGTTTGTCTAGACAAGGAACCGTGGAGCAAGATCCGGCAACTTGTGGACGCGAGCTGGATGGTCGTTGCGCGGCCCGAGCTGATTCGGGAGAGAATTGTGCGGCGGCATTTGGAGGCCGGGATCAGCAAGACTAGAGAGGAGGCAGAGAAGCGGGCCGACGAAAACGATATGGTTAACGGGAAGTATGTGATAGAACACTCACGTGGGATCGATTTGGCGATCGATAATGAATAGCATATAAATAGAAAATATATAATGCGCACAAGCGAAAACTACAGACGCGACGACGCAAAGTCAAGACTTGTGGTAGCAGAAAGAATAACCTGGCTTTGCACACAGAACGAAATTCTCGATCGATTGAGTCATCGGTGTTCTCTTTGAGGCTAGTCCACCGCAGAGCTCGTGTACAATTGCAAAAGCAAACGTCCAGTCAATAGAAAATTCCTCTCTTTAAAATCGATAACACCGTTACAGCATATGGATATCCGCGAACAGGACCGGTGGCTGCCCATAGCCAACGTTGGCCGCGTGATGCGACAGGCTCTTCCACCTCACGGAAAGCTCTCGAAAGAAGCAAAACAGTGCATGCAGGAGTGTGTGTCTGAATTTATCTCCTTCATCACCTCCCAGGCAGCTGAAAAATGTTCGTTGGAGAAGAGGAAAACGCTCAATGGTGAGGACATACTGTTTTCAATGTACTCTCTTGGGTTTGAGAACTACGCGGAAACACTGAAAATATATCTTGCCAAGTACCGCCAGTACGAGCTTTTGGAGAGCGAAGCCCGAAGAGAGAAGTACCGACAGCGAAAAGGGCCAGCAGTAGAGGCTGATGACGACAACGGAAGCGACGCCGAAGGTGATGAGGAGCGCGGCGGCGACGCCGAAGGCGACTTCCTCAACTATGAGAACGAGCTTGGCTTCGAAGGGTGGTAGCTATGCGGCTTTAGCCCTAAAATAATTAATCTTCATCGATCCCGTATAAATTCATGAGACTGTTGATATTTGCTCTCCTTGCATGGCTGTGTCACTGTACAGAGCTGGTCAACTTGGTGCTGGAGCTTGAGGACAATCAGGATCAGCGCCAGTTTATCGAAAGATACCGTCCGTTGCTTTCTGAATCGTACAAATGCTTTGATCTGGGGAAAATAAAGCTGTGCCACGGCGCTTTCAATCTCAACTTCGTCAAGTCCGCGTACTTCGACAAGGCCGTCAAGCGGATCAGTCTGGACCGCACCGTGCAGGTCTCCGATGTGGAAGAGTTTGCGCCCAAACACCTGGTGCGCATATCTCAACTGGGAACTGTCAACCGCCGCCAGCTGATGGACTACACTTACGAGCCCGGCGCAGGGTCCAACGTGAGCGCATACATCGTCGACACGGGCATCAAGACCGACCATCCAGACTTCAACGCCAGAGCGAGGCTGGGGGCCAGTTTGGTCCAGGACAACTTGTACGGCGACCCCAACGGCCACGGCACGGCGGTTGCGGGCATCATTGGCTCCGAAACGTTCGGTGTTAGCAAACAGTGTGTTCTGGTGGACTACCGTGTTTTCAACGAGAGCGGCACGGCCCAGCTGTCGACAGTACTGGAAGCACTGAAGCTGATTCACGACCACGAGACGCCTGGCGTCGTGCTGCTGGCGATGATCTCCGAGCGCAACGAGATCTTCCACTCTGCGCTTTCGCAACTGGCAAACCGCGGTTTTGCGATAGTCTCTGCCGCGGGAAACTTCAACAGCAGCGCGTGTCTCTATTCCCCGGCGGCATTCGAGTCAGGGCTCACCGTTGGGTCGATAGAGACGCACGGCGACAACTTGGGTTTTTTCACAAACTGGGGAGACTGCGTCGACGTGTTCGGCGACGGCATCAACGTGGCCACGCTGTCGCCGATGGCCGAGAGGGTGACCCAAAAATCGGGCACTTCGATGTCGGCCGCCATAGCAGCAGGCCTGGTGGCCACGTATATGTCAATGAACGATACCAGCGTCGAGGCTCTTGCGAAAGTGTGCAACCTGGCAGAATCAGGCAGCATCCCAGCACACAATTTTATGTATCGGCCAGGAACGCCGAACCGGATCCTCAACAATTATGGTGGAAAACTGGGCCAGATCCTCAATAGCTAGAATTCCATCTCAGTATCAATGGCACGGCGGCGGCAGATCGGACAGCTGTTGTCTGTAAGTAGCCACTGGTCAACACAGTCTTTGTGGAACTCATGCGCGCACTGTAAACGGCGGCCCTGCTCGCCCACTTCGTAGTCGACCAGACATATCGGACACCTGTCGAGCGGAGTTTGGATGTGGAAGATGGACTCTGTGTGACCGTCCAGAACGGACTGCGAGAGCTTGTTTCCGCGGAATATCCGATAAAGCGAGTCTCTGAAGGTGCTGATCCTCGTGTCAGAATTGTCGTCGTGCTGGGCCAGTGTCATGTTGCTGGTGCTGGCCACATAGCTGGCCAGAAGTCCTATAAAGATGGCCATGGAGCTTAGAACCGGGTCTGAGGCCGAGTAATGGTGTGCCATCACAATGATCACCCATGATCGATAGTGCTCCGATTGCGCCTGAGGAACATTGAGGCCTACCACTCCGACTATCAGAACAGGCACCAGACGCTCAAATTCGTGCAAAGACGAGTTGTAGCCCAGATGGGAGCTGTTGTCAAATCTGAACGCTCTGAAGAAACTCAATGTGCGGCCGAGCTCCATCTGGTTTCCCAGAGCATGCTGCAAAAGATCCTCGGTGGTGAGTCTATGGACGAAGCTGGCGAAGTCGGTGTCCATGCTTCCGTCCAGATTGTCCTCCGGATATATCCTTTCGCCCACGTAGTCAACGTTGACGTTTATAAGGCGTCTCAGGGTGTTCATGGTGACTGTTTCGAGCAAACTTGACAATGATCTAAATTGAGACGTGAGTAACTCGTTTTGTTCGGGCTCGTCAGAAGACTCTGCCACAGACCCGCTAGACGCGTTGATGTTGGACGAAACGCTGCGCAGCGCATCCACAGACGACTGGGCCGGCGACAAAAGACTTCTACTCACCATTCGGGTCGGCTCCGATAGTGTTTCAGGGGCCCGCCTTCGTCTCAGCAACCCTGTGAATTTGCGCCATTTGCGTGGGGACGAGGCAGCTGTGGAATGCAAAAAACCAGACTTTTGGGACGCACTGGACCGTGTGGTTTGCGCGTCCGAGTCGCGGCACGGAGAGCTATAACTGCGCGAAATTTGTTGTCCCATCTTAACCACTTATCTGATTCTGGGAAGAAAATGTTATTACGTAAGGGAAAAATTATTTGATACCGGATGGTAATCAATTAGCCTGCTATATAGACAATCACTCCACGCAACAGATCTAGTTCAGCTTGAAGGTGATGTGGCACTTACCACAGTATTGTCTGTCCTTCATGTTGGCCATGAAAATACCAGCACCACAGGTGGCAGCTGGACACTCTCTTCTGGTTCTCTCAACCTTTCCGTCGTCGTCAACAGAGTAGTAGGACAACACAGCCAGCTTGTTCTTTCTGTGCTTGTGCTTGATCTTCTTTGGGGTGGTGTAAACCTTCTTCTTTCTCTTCTTACCACCACCTCTCAGTCTGAGGACCAGGTGCAAAGTGGACTCCTTCTGGATGTTGTAGTCAGAAAGAGTTCTGCCGTCCTCGAGCTGCTTACCAGCGAAAATCAGTCTTTGCTGGTCAGGTGGGATTCCCTCCTTGTCCTGGATCTTGGACTTGACGTTGTCGATGGTGTCGGAAGACTCCACCTCGAGGGTGATAGTCTTACCGGTCAGGGTCTTGACGAAGATTTGCATTGTAGGATTGTCTGCAAGGGATGCTTCTTTCTCACCTACTTGGTTGGAAAAAAAAAAAATTACACTTGAATTTTTTTATTTTGGACTTCCCAGCCCGTACTGGTATCACGTGACTCTGTCCGCCCACCAGAGTAGGATACAGCCCTTATTTTCTGTTGACGAACAGAAAGTATAACCCCTTTTTTTACTTTTCCGTGAATTGAATACTTTTCTGCATGGTGGCCGTTTCGAGAGTTAACTCGATCGTCGCCTCAATCGGCTTCAGCAATGACGACGACCTTCAGAGTTTCTACACAGCTCTAGATGGCTCCAACAATGACTCCCTGTTGGATATAGTCACAGACACCACGATTGCCGACGTTGGAAGTGTGAGCGCAGAAGAGGAGTCCCTTGTTGAAGATGCTGATCTGTTATCCCGCAATATGGTAGTTCTCAAGAAAGCACCAGAGACCTCGGATGAGACGCTCAGGGTCAGCAGACAGCTGCTGAAGGACGAATTGCGGGTCACAGGGCTCATCAATACGTTAATTAGCAGTTATCCGCCCAGTTTGGAGGTTTCTGAGGACATTGAAGAGCCTCCTCGTAAACGTCTTGAAATTGTGTGGAGCCGGCTCCGCAGGTTGATAAGAAAACTTTTCAGACGTCGCCATTGATACGCATCACATGTTCCTCAGTTCTGGATAAATATTTGTGAGCAGCAAATCGAGTATGTTCCACATCAAAGACTTGTTGATGGTCTTGTGCTCAAAGGAGCCTATAAAGGACTCTGCATCGAGGTAAGGATGGGAGGGCCCATTGTCCATGGCAATTTTGGCATTCAGCTTGATTTCTTCGAGTTCTTGTGTGGTTTGGGGCACGTACCTAGGCGTTGTGTTGAAGTTCTCATCCGTTGGGAACATAATATGTCGCAAAGCGCGTACAGCACTGGATATTGTCTCGCTCGTGAGGAGTCTGTTGTAAATCAAGTTATTAAGAACGTTACTGCATAGGTGATTGAATTTTTTGGATTTTTGGAGCAATGTTGCTGTCGTCGTGACAACCACATGTGCTAGTGGATATCTGTTGCTGAAATGTACCAATCTGTTTATGAATGGGAACACTGCGTATTGCGTTACCAAGGTTTGAGGAGCGGGCTTGGAGGAGAAGACAGAGGTGCAATATGCTACTATGTGGCCCATTTGACGGCTACCGGCCGATAATTGCTCGAACAAGGGCCTCTTCGTCTTGGGACGCTTGCTCGAAGCTTCGCAGACGGCCTTGATCATGTTCCAGAGCATGAAGTTGTCTGTAAGGTTCTCCACGACGTTTCGCAGAATGAGGTCTCCAAAAATGGTTTCTGCAAACATTCGGCTCAAGTTGGACTCTGCCTCCTCGTTTGGTAGCATCAATTGCATCAGCTTTTTGACCAGGACTTGCATATATTGCCGCTCGCGCTCAGGGTTGTCCAATTGGATAGCAAAATGACCGTTCAGACAAAGATAGTTGGCAATCAACTCGTTTTCGTCCTGGATGCTGAATTTTGTTCCTACTCGTGTCTCGGCTTCTCTCAGTGCTTCCATGTGTTTGTCAAGTACCACAAATAAGTCGTCTAGCAACAATTGGCTCCAGTCAATTCTCAAACACCTCTGCTGGATATCTCTGGTCAAATGGGCAATCAGTGCAACTATTTCGGTTATGAACTCCCCGTTCTCATCAAACGCAACATTCTTGTACCATCCGTGCACAAACTGGCGTAAAAAGAGCCCGACCAACGCGTGAAGCTCGTTGTCTACTGTTGAAGACGACGTGAAGGCAGGAAGCGACTCCTGCTGCACTCCATACAATTGTGCTATGAGTTTCTTCAAATATTCGGGAGAGTCGCGCTGCGGCTGATCGCATAACGGTTTAGTGTCGTCCTTACCAGTTCGCCGTCGTCTATATTTAAGCCGAGAAGACATTGTGGAAAGACTCAAAAAATAATTATTGTAGATAAATAAATCGGCAGGCTGCGTCAGTAAAAAATCAAACAATCTTTTACCACCATGTCGGACTCAGAGTCACTTATGGAGTTGGAAGAAGAAATGGACGATTATTTAGGCCGTTATCGCGAGCAGCGGATGGAGGAACTGGCAAGGGAGATAGAGCACGCAAAGCGCGGCAAGGACGCGTACCAGGAGGTACATGACGAGGGAGAGCTAATGCGCAAAACGGTCTCCACCCAGACCGTGGTGATACTATTTCATAATCCTGAATTCCAGACATGCCAGATAGTGGACGGCGCTCTTAGAGAAATAGCTTCCAGATACTACGATACACAGTTCTACAAGATTAAAGCCACAGAAGCACCGTTTCTCGCTGTGAAGTTGCAAATCAAGGTTCTGCCATGCATTGTGATATACCGTGACGGCAAGGAGATCCAGAGAGTGGTGGGACTCGAAAGTCTCATCGATGGAACAGACATCGGCACTTTCACGACTCAGAGGCTGGAAAAGTATTTTCTCAAGTGCCACGTTATCAGGCCAAGAGTCCTGGACACGAAGCAATGAGGAGCAGGGAGACAAAACCGTGAAACTCAAGGCATCATATTTTTGTAAAATATACCAATTGCATTTTGTTTAAATTATTTTCGAGATTTATCATGCCACTAGTTAAACCCCAGGTGGCACCTTCGCGCCAGTTCTTCACACTGGCATTCACGGCGGCATCTCAGCTTTACAAGAGCACGTCTTTAGCCGATCAGCTGGAGCGTGGCGAAATCCACCGAGGTCCAAACCATGACGAATTATTGGCCAGGAAGAAGGCCCCACTGTTTGTCCGGCCTGAGCCCAATTATCCACAGCATGTGCCGCTGTACGGCTTTGAAAAAGCTCTACTGTTTGTTGGCTCTGCAATTGGTGCCTATTTGCATCCCGAGAGAAACGAGTTTATTGTTGCTCTGGGAGAGTCTACTGCATTCCCATACTTTCTCAAGCAGCTCAAAGTGCAAATGCTGAACGATCCCGTTGGCCGTCAAATTCTCAAAGAACGCCCTTACATAACCTCTGAGTCGTTGAATCTTGCCAAGCTCAAGCAGTATCCGGATAACACACTGGCAAGAGCCTATGTTGACTGGCTTGAGAAGGAAGGGGTGTCCCCAGACACCAGAGAGCCTGTCCGGTTTATTGATGACGAGGAACTAGCATTCATTTTCCAAAGGTACCGCCAATGCCACGATTTCTACCATGCAATTACGGGACTGCCTATTGTCAGAGAAGGAGAGATTGCATTGAAATTATTTGAATTCCTCAACCTCAAGATCCCGTTTGCAGGATTGGGTGCTCTTTTTGCCCCAATTCCTATCAAAAAATCCCAGCGGAGCCGCCTATTTAACATATACTACCCCTGGGCCCTGAAAAACAGTTTCACCTGTAAACCGCTCATCAACGTCTATTGGGAAAACATCCTGGATCGCGATGTGGACCAGCTTAGACACGAGCTCGGCATAGAGAAACCGCCCGACATGAGACAACTAAGAAAGGCTAAGATCACTACGTTATAGTAAGTCGAATCGTTTATATGCTATGCATGCGCTCTATCAATTCTAATTTCTGGATCCGAATACTTTCGCCAAAGCCCCGGTTTTCTCGTTGACTCCGGACATGACATCGTTTGTTTTTTCGTTCACCTCATCAAGTAAAACCTGCGTTTTATCGGCAATTCCATGCCACTGTTTCTCCAGGTTTTTCAAGACTGAATCGAATCCAAGCTTTCCTTTGCGCGCGTTCTGGCCAAACCGCTCAACCGACCAATCCTCCAACTTGTCACAAAGCTGGCGCAAAGAGGCAAAGGCAGTGATTTCGGCCACCTGATCAAACCGCGTACGCGAAACCGGGGACACGGGGTCTGGCCTGTAAACCACTGTCTCGTAGACTCTCAAAAGTTTGCACATGGTTAGGTTGCAAGACCGCATGGTCAGGGTCCGCTGGTTTCGGTCAATCACGGACACCTCCCTCACATACGACTTGTCTTGTCCGCCAACAAGAAACATCAGCCAGCGTGGAATAGGTTGTTTGCATGTGATAAGGCGTTCTGTGGTCAAAGTGCCCTTGTCCGGATCAAATTCCCGACGAAGCACATCAACGCCCACAACATGAGTACTCAGCTCGTTTGGGTACTTGCACCAGTTGGCAGCGCTTACATAATCCCACGAGTAGTTGTAAAATTGCGTAGAATTGAAGACCTTCATGACGATATCAAGAGACTGGCGAGTGAGTTAAATACCTCTTTTGAAATAAAAATTTTTGGTGGCGGTGAAAACCGGAACGGTCGAAAAAAAGAAAAGCCGTATCGGTAGTGTCAGTTTTTACTCCCAATTTCTATGCTTACGTCAGCGAGCCGATAACGTACTCCTGGAATCTGGTATCGGTCTCGGTAAACTGCTGACGCAACGGAAGCGTGCTTAAACCGCGGGGACGCAGCCACTGCCGCAGCCAGTTTGCAATTAGATTCCCCGAATTGAATGGATTTAGACACACATCTTTCAAGAAGAAATGACCCTCTACTCTGTCTGTTGCCAAATACTCTCTGGTGGTGATGCCTGTCAAACCAAAGCACAAATGGGTAAATAACAGTGATGCGGGAAACATGATACACAGCGCTGCGTATATGAGTAAAAAGAGGCTCATTGGGGTGTCAGCTATATCCTGCCTTGAGATTCTATAAGCCGTCTGTGCGCATACAAATGCACAGAGCAGGATAGTAAATGTTAAATAGCATAGAAAATGCCAGTAATTTCTCTGTCCTATGCAATTGGCCAGGAAAGGACAGTGGTGGTCCATATTCAGGATGCAAGCATTACACATGGAACAATGCGACGAACGTACAGGTCTCCAAATGTAGCATGTTGTGCAGTATTTTAGCTCCACCTTTGATTTTGGTCCATCCACCAGTTGACTGTTAATGTACTCGATGGGCAACCCATTGCGGACAACGTTATCTACCAGATGAACATTCCGCGGAAGTAATCCAGGGTCTTGAAAAGTTGCCCGAATAAGACACGAAGCTGATAGGCACCAAAGGTAGCAGAAGATAAAAATGATAGCGGGTGAAATATGGGTCCATGCGTATCTCGCCTCAAAGATAATATACAACGGCAAGGATACAACGTGAAGTACTATGGTGGTAATCAATGAGACGTATTGCTTTAACTTAACAAGTCTCAGACCGCGCAATCTGCCTCCAAAGAGATAATATCGAGATTCGGTATACGCTTGGTAATTGTAGGCTGGATTCTCCGGCGATGTCCAGGTGACAAACCAATTGGAAAACAGCGCTCTTTTCAACGGAAACTCGACTGGCTTGAGCTCAGCAGCCTGCCAAATTTTACTTTTGCTTAAGGTCATCGCCGTTCATCTGGTGGCGTAAAATGTCTATTTATTTTTTATTTATTTATTTATTTGTAACCTACAATATTTTTTTTTAGCGTGTTCGGTCCCTGGTGTGCGCGAATTTGCGGCCGGCCAGAGGGGGCAGCCTGGTGCAGCAGATTTTCCGCCGCTCTTTTTATTTTCACCACGATAACCGAAAAATGACTGACGAGGTCAAAAGTGCTAAAGATGCGGTAGGTGCACGCATGAAATAACGCGTCTCTAACAAAATAGCTTGTGTCTGCTCTCGTGGAGCTGTCAAAGGCAGCCAGTGATGCGTCGAAAGCCACGTTCCTGTTCTTCAACGCGTTGGAAAACAACAACACTGACCGGTCGTTGTTCGAAGACCTGATGGTTCCCATCGTGGGGCATGACTCGGTCCCTATGCTTGCGAACATGGGACACCACGACAAAAAGGAGGACAAGAAGAAGAAAAGAGCCCCTAAGGACCCCAATGCTCCAAAGAAACCTTTGACTTCGTTCTTTTTGTACTCAAACGCCATGAGAGATATTATCGTCAAGGAGAGAATGCTCTCGGGCGAAAGCAGCCTCTCACAACCTGAGATCGCTCAGGAGACATCCAGGAGGTGGAAGGAGCTCAGTGAAAGCGAGAAAGCCAAATGGAAGGAGCTGTATGAAGAGCAGAAAGCCATGTATGAGGAGGAAAACAAGAAATATCTTCTGGCAAAGGAAACCGGCGCTGCATATACTGCTCCTAAGAAACCGGAGACTGCTCCTACCCCTTCTAGCCTGAAGAAGAGCGACCACGAGAAGAAGAAGGAGAAGAAGAAGAAGAAGAAGGAAAAGCAGCAGCAGCAACAGCAACTCCTTATGAGCGAATAGACTGACGAACTTGTGACCAAATTCTGATAAATCGCGGTTCTCTGCCTGTTTTTTGTCGCTTTGTTATATTAGTTTTGTGTGTAAGAGTAGAATCAATTTCTTCAGCTTGACTTTTCCAGCTTGATGCTTGCAAACTCGTCAGGGTGACTGCTCTTTTTATGTTCGCACAAGGCTGGGTAACTTGAGTAGGTCTCATCGTCCAAGCACGCGTCACATTTGTAGAATCCAAGGCTGGTGATTGTGTATTTCAAGGGCTTTTTCGTTGTCGTCGAAGTTGTTTCGCTTGTAGGGTCCGAACAATTGGAAGAGTTCGCCTCATTAGAGCTCGGCGAATCAATGACTTGGTCAAATTTCCTCTTTGCTGGTTTAGTCAGCTTAGTAGGTTGAGGAGTGGACTCTTTTGAGTCACGAGGCGACAGCGTTTCAGTCTCGACGTTGGGCTTCAGTGGGCGCAGATGTCCCTTTCTATCCTTGTTTAGCGTCTTGTTAGCTTGTATAAGCTGTTCTCGAGGAATCTTGAACCTTTGTGCCAACTGGTTGAGCGATACTTCTGGCCATGGCTTCATCACAACATTTCTTTTTGCTGGTTTTTCCATGATCTCCGACTCAGATAGGGCCGGTGTCGAGTAGAGGGGCGTGAATCCTATGGGTATGCTGTCGTCGGAAGGGGTTCTGGACACTTTTTCGACAACAAGACTTTCCTTTTTAGGGTCTGGAACTGGTAGTTCTGACAGATCCTCCCCGTTCAAGAGTCTATCCAAGTTCTCATATTTTTCGAGTTTCTCGTTCAACTCTTCAACCTGGCCTTGAAGCGAAAATACCGCAAGTAACAGCTTGGAAATTACTTCCTTTTGATTCAGTGAAGAAACGAAATCTGGATCCTTGAGTTTTTCTGGGTCGTTGATTTTCAACGATTTCAGGAAAGACATGGCAAAAATGTACAGCTTTGACTTCGGAGCAAGTTTTCAAGCAAAATGGGCGTTGTTGGAGCGAAGTTATCTCAGCCAGCAACAATATATCAATTCTTCAGAAAAAAAGGGGATACCAAATATATAAAAAGGAGGTTTAAATTTTATGGTCGCAGAAAAAGAGTAGAGGACGTGAGTGAGGGTTTAAAAAATTAATTGTGGAACCACTGGCTAAGCTGAACCATTTGGGCCGTCTCAATCTCAGCATCTCCCTGCTGTCTGAAATCATCAACTATCCAAGGAGTAGATTTGCGTGTGGTGAGGCTCTGCTGTGACCAGCATCGATTCGGGTCGATCGACCCAGTAAAATGTTTCGACAAAATTTTTAACAAAGCATGTTTGGACGACTACTGAGGCCTTCCGCCAGACACTTTTCGTGCGTGCGGCCGACGCTGAACTCCTCATCAGCTCTGGAAGCTATTGATAATAGAATCAAAAAGTTGCAGAGGGAAGCCCAGCTGAGCCCCGAAGACAGCTCGTTGCTTGACAGACCGGAACTTTGGCAAGGCCTGCCAGACCAAAAAGTCCTAGAGTTGTACCAGCAGAGAAAAATCAATCTCGGAAAGCACTACCGGCGTAACAAAGATGAACTTGCCGCTCTGGTTGCCGCCTCCCCAGATATCTACACGGCAGAGATGGCTGCACGCGCATACACTGCTGAGGAAGGAGATATGTTCAGAAACCAGCTCAACTACCAGTCGAAGATGTATCACAACAAAGGTAGCTTCATGGCTGATGAGATTGAAGAGGATGAATACGATGAATACCCAACAGACGTCCAGGAAGTGGTCGAAAACTTTAGAGACCACCTGGACTTCAACAGAGTGGCCGCATACGAGTTGCCGCTCCTGACCAAATACAGAAAGGAGTACGTGCCGCCGAAGAAGGGAGAGAAACCGGTCATCTACCGGTACACCAAGTACTTCGGCGAGAGCCATCCTGCTGAGCGCAAGGTGTCGGTGTCGGTGAAGGTGTCGGAGCTTCCCTTGACTCGAGAGGAACGACACAAGTTCAAGCTGCTGGCCGGTGTGAGATACGACCACGTGAGGGACATCTTCAAGATGTCCAGCGACAAATACTTGGAGCCTGCCCAAAATGCTTCGTTCCTGTCCGAAGTGATGGACGATTTGATTGCCGAGGCCAAAAGAGATGCTCACAAGTATGCCGATGTTCCTCTCGACAAAAGACACACCAAGGCGAAGTACAAAAAGAAGCAGCACCGCAAGAGACGTGTTTACGAGTTTCCGAAGGAGTGGGAGCGTCCAATCGCGCCGGAGTCCAAACAGGTCGACTGGCAGCAGATGCTCACTGAGTAATGTACATAGACACGAGATATATTTTTTCATCCACATCCGTACACCGCGTTCTGACCACCGGTGAGCTTTGAGAAAAAAATAAAACAAGGTCGTCTGATACACCGAGCATGCCTCCACGCAAAGCGAATCGTCGCAAGGGCAAGAACATTTTGGGCAAAGGAAAGTCGAATTCTTTGCCTGCAGGGACTGTGGTGACGGGATTGCCGTCAGAAACGCTGCAGGCAGTTCTTCTCGAGCTCAATTTGAGTTACGACTCGAGTCTCGGTTTGCTGCAAGGAGACAGCATGTTTTCGACCCCGTCGGAGGCCAAGCTCACAGCATTGAAGAAGCTGCTCGAAAAACTGATTGGAGAGCTTGAGTCTGGAGTGGAAACCGACAAACGGTTGATAGCGTCGATCGACTCAGAAATTTCGCAGCTCGACCGACAAGATAACCAGAACACGGCTGCAGTCAAGGAGGAAACATCAGAGCGTCTTGTTTCTCCTGGTGTGGAGATCAAGCAGGAAAATGACGACGACGACGAGGACAGTGCCATACAAATGCCGAAGAGAAAACGGCAGAGAATTATCATCACTGCTAACGGAGAGCGCAGGGAGATTACTCCGGACTCACGTGACGAGGGGGCCGACGCTACTTCCGAGCAGCCTCCTGTTCCGAGCGAGGACGACGAGGATGCATTGCCGGTTGGATCTGTTACGGTGAAGAAGGAGAGGCCAATACTCAAGATTACCCAGAAGAAACCAGACGAGGAGGACAAGCTGGAGGACGGAGAGGTGATCCCATCTGTGTATATTGGCAAAGAGAAGCCCGACTTCAAGATCGACGAGCTTTTGGAATCTGCTAGAAATCAGCTGGAATTATACGACGAGCAGAAAGCACACGAGAAGTATGGCGATGGAGAGGAGTTCCTCAAATACAAGTATGCTGTTGCGGACTTCCCGCACGACGACCTCAAGGACTTGCTGCCGGGCGAAATTCCGATGACCGATTTTTCCACTGCGAAGCCCAACAACAACCAGATTGCCTTCACTTCGTTCCAGGCGTATGTAGAACCGTTTTTCAGACCATTTACAGAGGAGGATATCCGTTTGTTGCGAACGAAATGCAATTTAAGCAGCAATCTGCCCCGTGACTACGACGACCAGAAGACCCCGTATCACATACCGCGACTGGGACCGCACTATGCTGACGTGTGGTACGAGGAAGACCTGCGCAATGGCCTGATAAAGAACCCTGATGGCATGGGGTTCAGTTTACGCAAACAGCTGGAAATGAACATGTTGAGTCTCGTTGAGCCAAAGGCATCTTCGGACAGTCTGAGCAGCGATGTATTGGAGACAGAGGAGGTTTCGTGTGGTCCGCTGACCTCGAGGCTTCTATCTGCTCTCATAAAAGATACACCTGACAAAGACACCGGAGATGACAGCCTTGCGGGCAGTCCTGCTGCAGATGAGAACGGCGGCGACAGCGGTGCCGCAGACACGCTGTCTTCGTCGGCTTTGGCAGACCAGCAAGGGTGGAAGTCGTCTATTATCAAGACCGATTACAAGACTCTTGAGGAGCGTTTGAAGCGGGAATTGAGATACATTGGGGTGTACATGAATGTGGAGCAGACGCTAAACGAACCTGGGTTTGAGCAGGATTGGGTCCAAAATAGAGAAGATGACGAGATTTCCACGGAGCTGCGCCATTTGCAGAAGGAACTCAAAGCTGTCCAGGCGCGCAACATCAAACGCAAGAAAAAGATCATCCCAATAGTGGAGGAGCAGATTGCGTGGCAGGAGTACATGTCTATTTTAGAGGACCTGGATAAACAGGTGGAGCAGCACTACAGAAGAAGAATCAACGTTGCACCGAAAAAGGCCAAGAAACGAGGCCCAAATGCCGGAGGCAACGCTGCCAAAGAAAAGGACGAACTGGCTAACCAGCAGCTGGTTAGCAATTCGTCTTTCATGAGTCTTTTGGAGAAACGCAACAAGTGGATCTCGCGTATTGGACCGCTATTCAAATCACAGAAAGAAATGAGAAGAATGCCTAGTGAGAGCGTCTTCAAGGACGTCAACATGGTGGAAAATGAGGAGGAGGAGGAAGGAGAAGAAATCGCGGAAGATGATGTGCTCGACCAGATGGACTTGGAGTAGCTACGCGAGCGGCACGAATAATGCAAGTGATGAAAAATAATTAAATGTAAATTATTTATTTAATGTACTCGATTTTGTTCAACGATTATGGTAAAATCTGGAGAGAATCCCCGACTGCTGTAAATGAGCTTTTTGCATTTGGGACGATTGCGGACTACAAAGCGAACAAGCAGCTGATTGGACCGCTGGACGAAAACCAATTGCTCAAGTTGCGCCAACTGACGCTGATGTCGGTCGTCAAGCAGGGACTGCTCACGTTCGACCAAGTGTCCATGCTTTTGGACTTGGACTACAATGACATAATCAAAACCCTGACCGTGCTGGCTCGCAGTCCGCTTCTAGAGCTCGAAATTGACGAACTGGGTCAGACGGTCAAGTTCATAAGAGCTAGTTCTAGAGACATATGGGTGCAGGGAGATCCTTCGCCTTCCTTTACCAAACCGATCACAATAGAATTGCTTCAAAAGGAGTTGAACTACGGCAACGACGCAAGCACTCCCAAGCTCAAACGACGTTTGGAAAGTTGATTTCGAATGCATTATATATAAATATCCACGGGCTGCTCAGGCCTTCCAAAGCTTCTTCATAACACCCACTAATCCTTCCTTTTCGGTTGTCTCGATAATGTAGACGCCATATCCTGCAACTAGAGTTCCAAACCCTAGCAAACCGATGGCAGCCTTGTGCCAGATGCCGTAAACCCTCAACGGAATATAGTCAATGATACAGCTCTCGAATCCGACATAGCAGTGGTAAAGAAGCAAAGTTCCCATAATAGAGTCGACAAGCGGATAGGAAGTTCCTGTCACAAAAGGAGTCATGATGAACGGAGCCAGGCCAATAGCAACAACTCTCTCGCTTGTCCAGTGGAGCGATCCGTGCAACTTGTGTGGCGGTGGAGGAACGTAGGCGTCATTCACGGTTCCCACGATATTTCCAGGAGGCTGTGGGATGGTCTTGATGAAGCCGCGAACTGCGAGGGGTCTGAAGGCAGTAGAAGGTTTTGCGCGTAATCCAACTTTCAACATGGTGTGTTTCTCAACTTTTGTCCGGGGATGAGGAAATATATAAGGGTGTTACGAGCCCTGGGGGTGATGACAAAATTAAGGCCTGTGATTGCTTGCAATTCGGAGCACGATCGGAATTGTTGTTTTTGGTGCCAACTGCGGCTTAAAGTTGGAGACGGGCTGCGTGCTGTTGCTGCTGACCATATTGTCCACCACTTGTGCGACCATGTTGCGACGGATATTGACAGCACCTTATCCGTACACACCCTTGCACCCGAACTGGACATCGCACACTTGACACCAATAGATTTTTCTCTCCAAATTGCATGGCTAAAGGAAGCGTTACTGACGAGAACGGCATACCTTACAACTACCTGATAGTTATAGACGCCGGGTCAAAAGGGTCACGTGCCTACGTATACTACTGGCTTTCCTCGCAGTACCTACTTGCCAATAACATTCTGCGCGTGCCTGACGATCATGTTAAACTGCTAAAGAGGGTCGAACTAGATCCGTCCGATCTTCCTCAGGTCCAGACAGGCAGTCAATGGCACAAGAAAATCCATCCAGGTATTAGCGAGTTTCATGAGAACTCGGCCCATATAGGACCGAGATACCTTAATTATCTTCTCAAGAAGATTTACGACATAATTCCCATTGAGCAGCATTATCGAACGCCCATATTTCTCCATGCTACAGCTGGCATGAGGCTTTTAAAACCCAACGAGCAGCAGGCGATTCTAGACAACGTGTGTTCGTATCTGCAACAAGAAACCAATTTCTACCTTCCAGACTGCGCGAGCCATGTTAATATTATTGACGGTGACGTAGAAGGACTTTTCGGTTGGATCGCCCTCAATTACCTGACTGGCGCCTTAGCTGCCAACAGAAGCTCAGCAGGCCTACTGGATATGGGCGGTGCATCCACACAAATCTCGTTTGAGCCTAACGAGAAGGAGACGACAGAGCATTACAATCAATTAATTAATTTAAAGCTGGCCACGATGGGCCAAGAGGTCACGAACTTGAGATATAACGTCTACTCGGACTCGTTTCTTGGATATGGGCTTTCGCAAATGCGGCTGAAGTACCTGCGTGGTCTTGAACACAAGCTGGAGGACGGGAAGGAATACGTGGAAGACCCATGCCTTGCTGCTAAGAGACACCAAATGGTGGAACTCGACGGCGTGGAGATTGAGGTCAAAGGAACAGGGAATTATGAACAATGCAATGGAAACGTCTACCAATTAATAGCCAACAAGTGTGGGGACAGACAAGAGGTATCGAGCTGTCTGCTGAGCAACACAAACCCAGACTTTAATTTGAATTCTGAGAATTTTTATGGAGTCTCCGGATACTGGGACACAGTTGCCAAGCTGCTCAACTACAACGACAAGGAGGAAAATTATGGGAAGATTTACGCATACGACAAAATGGTGCAGGAAACAGAGAAAATATGTTCTTTGGACTGGAACCAGCTAAAGGAATACAAGGACCTTGGAAAATCAGAGCTAGAGGAGCTATGCTTCAAAAGCACGTATTTGATGAACCTGCTCCACAACGGGTTTGGTTTAAACCGTACGCGATCGCATTTCACCGTCAATGATAACGTCAACGGGTCGGCATTTACGTGGACGCTGGGGCGTGCCGTGCTTTATGCTAGCGATGAAAGTCTGATTGAGGTGCAAAACTATGTCCACAATTACGTGGACGACGGCAAACGCGACAAGGTGGGGTACTCGCGCAACTCGGCTCCTGGAGTGTTTTTTCGCGGCTCTGAAGTGGACGGGGTACCTCTGCGTCCAGTTTATGAGATTTTCGACTCATATCAAGAGCCAGGCTTCCTCCGAGACCTCAAGCAAGGACAAGATTACGAAAACGACGAGGTTGTTGAGAAAATCGACCGGAAATCGATATTCAAAGCGCACTCGTGGATAGTTGTGATGATAGTATTGGTTGGTTTGGTTTTTGTCATTGCGAACAAATCGCGTGTGCTACGTCTCATTAACGAATTCGTGCTGTTTCTTTCGTCATTGGTGAAAAAATATATACACGGTCGCGCAGGCGGCATCCACTGGCCATATGTGACCCGGGGACGGTACAAACGAGCAAGGTCGATGGACATGGGTGCCAGTGAGGTGGAACTCAGCGAGATGGATATTGCAGAGCCGGAAGACTCCGAGTTCGATCTGGGCGTGGAGGATGACGATATTTTGAGCGGATACGAGGACTTCGACCTTTCGGAGGATAGCGATGACGGCATAGAGCGCGCCGTCTAGCTTTCAAGATGCCAGCTGCGCAGATCTGACCGGTAGTCTGACTCCTGCAGCGGTCCATGGCGGCTTTTCTTGCACGTGGTGTAATCGTGTTGTACGGTGTCGATGTACGGGACGCCGAACTCGTTCCGTTTCCAACCGTTTCCGTTGTGCTGCGTGATATCCCTAACGCACTCGATAGGCGTGAACTCGTCGTAGTTTACGCCGTTGAACTGCCAGCTGAATTTGAACGTCTTGTTGATGATGTCGTTGAGAATCATCTCGGAGTCGTTCTTGTGCTTTTCGGGGTCCGGGAACTCCTTCTTCGAATCCTCAATCGAGTCTTTGAGACCCGTGTATATCTGCTGTGTGCTTCTTCTTGGGACATTATAATGATAATCTTGGGCACTGTCGAGGTGTTTCATGTACACTGATAGGCGCAGAATCGCGTTTGTCTTGGAGTCTTTGAGGAGATAGCGTAGATTCTTAGGCTCGCGGTCGTTGGCATATTCGGTCAGATTGAGCTCAAGTGTGCCAAGCTTATTTTTCTTGCTAGTATGCGTATCGTGGATGAAAAAGGTGATGTACAGCCATTTGTCGGAGAGCGTAAAGGCTTCCTTTGGATTGGCATAGAGCTTCAGTTTGGCCCGGATTAGCTCGTTGTTGAACACACACTTGTGGTTTTCGACCGCACGCTCCGCGGATTGAACGGCGTGTCTATGATGGTATTGGTGCTTGCCAGAGAGCCGGCTGTTTGAGATTGCCTGGATGTAGAAGCACGACACGTGATCCAGTTGTGGGATATTGGACAGCTCCGCAAGCTGCACATTCAATTCAAATTCTATGGCCTTATAATTGAGCTTGAGCATTTAGTTCCCCAAGTTTTAATTATCTAATTCAGTTTGCTTGGCTTTATTTTTTTTTTCTGTTTGCCACCATGTCCAACTGGAAGAAGCTGTTTAACAAGTCGCACAAGACTCAACAAGCTTCCAGTGGCTCAAGCCTGAAGACCACCCCCTCCACTGATACAGGAGCATCGCACACAGAGGATGAGTTCCGAGACTCCCGAAAGACGCTGATCAACGACGTCGCGTCGGGCGTTGGAAATCTGAATCTGGACCCAGAAACACCCCAAGTTATCACCAAAGATCTCGGAAGCACCGACCCGGTTCTGGAAAAAGATGTTACTGAGCCTGTGAAGCTGCGCCCGGGACTTCTCACGGTCAAGATCTACTCCTGCAAGGACTTGCAGATACCAATTCCACTTAGGATCACAAAACCGATTCTGACCAGATTAGCCAACATGGGCACAAATCTGAACGAGGACGAGCTGATTAGACGCATAGAGGCGCTGAGCGAAACAATGGACGAGATCAAGAACTCTAACATATCGTACTACCTTCCCTCCACGTTGAGCATAAACTCCGGAGACACCACGAAAAACATGGTCACCAACTACAGTCTAGTCTACGCTGTTGTAGAAATTGAGAACAGCAGTGAACGCATTAACTCCATCGGAAACACCATCAGCAATACGAAATTTAACAGTGTCACCACTTTCGATGTCACGTCACCAAATACGGCCATTTTGAGTGTCCAGCTGTACGTCCGGGTGCCGGGTTCTCTTTTGGAGTCAGAAAGACAGGAAGACTGCTTGCTGGGGTCATTCCAGTATCCTATAAATTCATCTGCTCTACAACAGGAGGCATCTCAAATACGTATTCTGAACCACGACTGGAAGAACCTGCGCAACCCCTACACAGACCAGGACCTACCGGGAGCGGTCAGTATCACGCTGGACTTTAAGCCACTGTCGATGTCCTCTAAGAAGAGTCTGTCTATCGACGACTTTGACCTCCTCAAGGTGATCGGTAAGGGCTCGTTCGGAAAGGTGATGCAGGTCAGAAAGAAAGACACAGGCAAGATTTACGCTTTGAAATCGATCAGAAAATCCCACATTGTCAACAAAATGGAGGTGACGCACACTCTGGCCGAGAAATTTGTTCTAAGCAGAGTCACCTCGCCCTTTATCGTTCCTCTGAAATTCGCTTTCCAGTCTGCAGAAAAATTGTATTTGGTGCTATCATTTATTAACGGCGGGGAATTGTTCTACCATTTGCAGAAGGCGAGACGATTCCCACTGATCCGGGCAAAGTTCTACATTTGCGAGCTGCTTTCAGCCGTGGAAAACCTGCATTCTATGAACATCATCTACAGAGACTTGAAGCCAGAAAATATTCTACTCGACTACCAGGGCCACATTGCCCTCTGCGATTTTGGTCTGTGCAAAATCAACATGCAGCTTGACCAGAAAACAAACACCTTCTGCGGAACTCCAGAGTACCTTGCTCCCGAGCTGCTCATGGGCAAAGGATACACCAGGGTCGTGGACTTCTGGACGTTGGGTGTTCTATTGTACGAAATGCTAACCAGCCTGCCTCCGTTCTATGACGAAGACGTCAACACCATGTACAGAAAGATCTTGAATGACCCGCTAGTGTTCCCTGCAGAGTTCGACCCCGACACTAAAGACCTGATCACTAGACTACTTAACAGAGACCCGAAAAAACGACTCGGCTACCACGGCGTGGAAGAGATCAAGAGCCATCAATTTTTCAAGGACATCGACTGGTATAAGCTCAGCCACAAGGGCTACATCCCCCCATTCAAGCCGCAAGTGCAGGACTCGGCAGATGTCAGCAACATCTCGTCAGAGTTCACGGACGAGCGTCCGATGGATTCCGTGGTGGACGATTTCTTGAGTGAAAGTGTCCAGAAACAGTTTGGGGGTTGGACCTACGTGGGCAGCAGCTTCAATCCAGAGAATTACGCGTAAATCGAAAATCAATCGAATACATTCTATCCCATATTAATTAAGTTTACTCGATGCGAGGAATCAGTTTACCAGCAAGTGAAACCACCGTCGACAGTAATGTTTGCTCCCGTGGTGTATGAAGAAGCGGAGTTGGAGAGCAAGTAGAGAACCGTACCGGTGAATTCCTTAGCTTCCGAAAGACGGCCCATTGGGGTCAGCGAAAGCCATCTCTGGTACATTTCGTTATTACCGTTAATAACGTTCTTTGTGAGCGGTGTAAGGATGTATCCTGGCGACAAGGTATTCACTCTGATGCTGTATTTGGCCCATTCAGCGGCGAGAGACTTGACCATGTGAATCACACCGGCTTTGGACATGTTGTAGGCGACTTGCGGTTGTGGGTCGTTGACGATTTCTCCGGACATGGATCCGATCATCACGATGGAGCCTCCCTTGATGTTGTTGTCGATAAGTGGTTTGGCGAATGCTTGTGCAACGTACAAGGCGCCCAAAAGGTTGACCTTGAGAAGCTTTTCGGCGTTCTTGGCGGGGTAGTGCTCGGCTGGGAAATTCTCGCAATAACCAGCAGTGTTGACGAGATGCAGCGGGTACTTTCCAAAGTCGGCGTATATTTGAGCAAAGACCTCGTTCACGTGCTCAGCGTCGCTAATGTCGCAAACGTACGAGTGCATCTTTGGCACGAGATCCTCCTTGATCTTGAGTTCCTCAACACAGAATTTGAACAGCTCTGCTTGAGTTTCCTTTGTTCTTTCCAAGTTCATATCGAGCAGGGCAATTTCGGAGCCGTATGCAAGAAGGCCCTTGAGGATGGCATTGGACAGTCCACCGGAAGCACCGGTGACGACTGTGAGTTCGTTGTCTAGTCTGAAGGTTGGGACGATGTCAGCCATGTTTTGTGGATTGTATGGAGCTCAGGGGAGGGAAAAGGCTGGCTTTTATACTTTGAGGAGTGCAGAAGCCTCTCACACATATTTTTAGGTTAGGAAATCCGTTTGTGGGGGTGTCACGGAAAAAGAAAGAGCGTTCTGCCACCCCCAGTCTGCCCGCTGGAACAATTAAAAAAAAACAGTGGAACTCCGTCTGCGGAATTCCGCCAAATGACCTATTGTCTGGTGCTCCAGAAGTTTCTTTTTGCAACCGTTTGATTTGTTCTTGCACACCTCTGCACCTGTTTGCTTCTTTCTTTTCATGACAAGCCTCAACATAGGATTGGTCAAGTCCATCGCAGTTATAGGAGGCGGACCCTGTGGTGCAGCTGCAATCAAGGCGCTTTTAAAAGAATCGGCCTTTGATTGTGTGCGCGGCTACGAGAGGCGGGCAGGCTCAGGCGGCCTCTGGAACTACCACGACTCCCATGCCGGGCCAGAGCCTGTTGCAGGCCCGTCCCTCGATCCGCACAGCCCAGATCTCGTCAAGCCTTGTAAGCTGGCCCCCAACCAGTACGTCTGGCCCAGCGCCATCTACGAGCTGCTCGACACAAATGTGCCCCATCAGATCATGGAGTACAGTGGCTTCCCGTTTCCAAAAGACACGCCGCTCTTTCCTACCAAACAGCAGGTGCTGGATTATTTCCAAAAGTACGCCAAGGACGCAGAGCCTCACATCAGTTTCAACACAAACGTCGTTTCTGTGAGGTACCGGCCCAACGAGGCAAAAAAATGGCAGGTTACACACCGTCCCGTCTGCGACGAGACGCAAGGTGGACTAAAATATGCGGCCGCGTTTCCTGACCAAACGGACCATTTCGACGCCGTGCTGGTTGCCTCGGGCCACTACGAGCTGCCGTACGTGCCTGAGAAGAAAGGACTTGCCGAATGGACGGGCAAATATCCCGGATCTGTGTCGCACTCAAAGCACTTCAGACACCCGAGACAGTTTGCGGACGTGCCAGGGAACCTACTCATTGTGGGCAATTCTGCATCGGCCCTTGACCTGGCGTACCAGACAGCAACAATATTGCAGCGCAACGTCTACAAGAGCGCGAGATCGCAGGCAATGCTCCCTGGCGGAAGCAGCGATTACATCAAAACTGTGCCGGACATCGACCGTTTCGAGCCAGAAACAAAGTCAGTCAGGTTCTCCGATGGGTCGGTGCTCGAGAACGTCGGCCATGTCCTGTTCGCCACCGGATTCCTCAGACATTACCCCTTCCTCGACGAGATCAATAAAACGTCCACCCCAATAGTCACCGACGGCCTCAGACTCCATGGCTTATATAAGCAATGTGTCAGCTACAATTTCCCCGGGCTCGCCTTCATCGCCACACCAAGGTACATTCTGCCCACTAGAGTGGGGGAGGCACAGGCGATCTGGCTGTCCAAGATTTTCCAGGGCAAGCTGGCCTTACCCAGCATCGAGGAGATGAAGGCTGACGAGGAGAACACCGTCAGGCTGCGTGGCGACTCGCCCAAGTTCCATAATTTGCTGTATCCCGATGACGTTCATTATGCACACGAGCTGAACCAGCAAGTGTATTCGACGCCTGACTGGCAGAACGGGCTAGCTCCCTGCGAATGGAGCCACGAGGATATTTTGTACCGCGCGTCCGCCGTGAAGATGAAGGAGGCGTATCTCAAATACCGCGAGCTGACCAACGGCAAGCGCGCGACGAGCATCGAGGAGTTACAGCAGGCGGTCGACTTTAAGTTTGACGACGTGGATTGGACAGAGTTCAAGCTGTGATTTGCTCAGGGTCCATGCTGCGTTTTCGAAAAGTTCCACTGCTCGGTTAGGCAGCTGGCGAGCTTTCCGGTCTTTGCAATCTGGATTTGATGCAACTTCATTCGCTGTCGATGTTATCTATAGAACACACGGTCGTGGGCCGCAGATTTTTCAGTAGCGGTTTTTCCAATGGCTTTCTATTATCCTAAAGTAGAAAAAAATTGCACATCTGTCATCTACCTTTGCGGTTCGACAAGAATTAATTTTCGATAAGATAATGCAGTCCGTCTATCACAGACTCGTAGGGTCCTTCCATATATAACGCGTGCCTCGCTCCCGGTGCCAGCCAGAATGGGAGGATACGCAAACTCGGGGCTTGGCTCCGCAGAGCTGCTTATGGCAGCCAAGCGCAACTCGCTCGACACCCTCGCCGAAGACACCTCCACCTACGTGGCAGCAGACATGGGCTACGTGATGTTCTGTACCGTGGGAGTCATGATTCTCACGCCAGGCATTGGCCTGTTCTACGGCGGTATGCTCAAGAAGAAGAACATAATCCAGATGCTGTTCCAGTCTTACATGGTGACCTGCACCATCACGATCCAGTGGTTCTTGTTTGGCTACTCGCTCGCGGTCTCGGTTTCTCCGTCACACGTGTGCGGCAACTTTTCGCTCGGCGCTCTCGCTAAACTCGGCGCCGGACCGTTCATCGAGGGCGGCACCATCCCTTCGATCATCTACTTCACGTTTTCTGTGTTTTTCCCTATTGCTACCGTGCAAATCTTTGTGGGGGCCATTGCCGAACGTGCCAGAATTGTGCCCTCGCTCGTGGTCGGGTTCCTGTGGTGCACGGTCTGCTACTGCCCGTTTGCATACTCCACGTGGGCCACCAACGGCTGGCTGTACAACCTGGGTGCGCTCGACTTCGCCGGCGGCGGCCCTGTCCACATAGCCTCGGGCGTCTCGTCGCTCGCATTTTCCTACTTCATCGGCAAGCGCAAGTACTGGAAAAACCCTTCCACCAACAAGGACTACAAGCCTCAGAACATGGTGGCCACTTTCATTGGCGTCTCCATCATCTGGTGCACGTGGCTGTGTTTCAACTCGGGCACGTTGCTCGCCGTCAACACGAGAACCGGCTACATCATGGCCAACACGCAGATCGCCGCGTCGGTGGCCAGTTTCGTGTTCACCTTGGTCGACTTCATGTTCGAGCGTAAGTGGAGTCTCGCGGCCGCCTGCGAGGGTGCCGTTGTGGGGCTCGTCAACATCACCCCGAGCTGCGGCTTCTACACGCCATACTGGTCGTTTATCACGTCTGCCTTTGTTGCTGCGTGCTGTCGCCTGCTCTACAACGTGAACGAGTGGCTGGGCATTGACGACACCACCCGCTCCTTCGTGGTGCACGGAATTGGCGGCATTCTCGGGTCGATCTGTCTCGGGGTGTTTGCCTCGCCGTACGTGGCTGGTTTGGACGGCGTGACCGAGATTCCCGGCGGATGGATTTACCACCACTGGAAGCAGATGGGCTACCAGTTTGCTGGCTGGATCAGCATCACCGTGTGGAGTTTCGTGGCCACGTACGCAATCTGCTTCGTTGTGGACAAAATCCCCGGCTGCAAGCTCAAGGGCATCGAGGAGGCCGAGGAAATGGGCATGGACTTCTACGAGATGGCCGAGTACGACGGCGGGCTGGAAGAATATGTTAGGGACAGAAAGGACTCGGGCGTTTCGTACAACGGCGGAACAGGCGTGGTTGGCACGGGCACCTCGAGCGAGGTCCACGAAAACAAGCTTGAGCACCACCACGTCAAATCTGTCGAGGTGTGACAGTGTAGCAGAGTCATTCAATCATTATATATCGTTTACCTAGTTACACGGGGACGCTTTTCATGTCAACCTCCACGTAAGGATTTTCGGGGTTGCACCTCACGTCCAGATCCACCTTCCAGTGTCTGTTGTACTTGTCGGTCTCCTCGCCGTAGCCGTGGTCCGAGTAGTCATGCAAATGAAACATAATGCTTCCGTCCGGCCTGTGCTCGACAACCGCCTTCTCGAAGTTGTAGTTCACACCGGTGTAATAGTTGATCTCCGAGAGCAAGTGTCTCTTGATGTGGTGGCCCAGGTGTCTGACAAACTTGCGCGAGCGCGAGTTCATGGTGGGTTTGATCTTCTCCGGGTTGTCGTGGATGCTGTGTAGAACAAATGGGGGTAGGTAGTTCACCTTGAGGTGGAAATAGTCGAACTCATTGTCCCAGGTCTCATCCTTGAGATACTGCTCAAAGGCTACAATGTCGTCAAATTTTCTAAGTGGGGGTTCCTCCAAAGAGTTTCTCCTGGAGGTGACTGGAGAGAGATGTTCCAGATGCGTTGGCTCGGTTTGGGAGTAGGAAGAGTACTTTTTCGTCATTGTCGTGGCTGCCCACAGGGCCAGCAACGCCCGGATTTATACTGGGAATTGTGGTCCCATTTCCGATGTGGGGCCATGCTGAAACGTAAACACTGCCCAGCGTACATGACTAGGCTGCTCTAGTGACCACAGTATTTCCTAAAAAATACAGTCTCTTCGCTCGCATGCAATCCCCCCCCCCCCCCACATGAATCTGCTGCGCGGCACATGGCAATTTTTGGAAGCTTTTTATTTTTTGCAGTAATATCCAGATGTCATCTATCGGCAGTAAACTCTCGCTGACTCTAAGTTATGTGGTGATAACTCTTGGCTGTCTCGCATTGCGCCAGCTGTTCACACTACAGCTTCCCCCAGAACTCCAAGAGGGTGGCCATGCCCAATTCCTCACCAACATTGCTCTTTACGTGACCATCTTCTATTTCTCGCTCAATGCTGTGTACCAGCTTTTCGAGATTAGAAAGTTGGCCTACGCACGCCAATTTGTCAATGCCATGGCAATCTCGCTAGAGTTCATCGTCACATACGTTTACTGGGGCCTTAGGCTTATCAACAAAGACCTGATCCTGAAAGGACCCGGGATCCCACTTTCGATTGATCTCACCATCCATGCCCTGCCCTTTGCGTCTCTCGTGATCGACTATTTCTGTTTCATGGACCCGTGGACAATATCCAAAAAAACGGCGCTTCTTACCACGTCGCTCATGGCAGCCGCCTACTGGTTGCACCTCAAACGGCTCATTTCTGCCGAGGGCCACTATCCATACCCATTTTTAGACGTGGATGACTGGCTGCGAGCCGTCATCTTTGCTGTAGTGTCCTTTCTCGCGTTTGCTGCGTTCTGTCTGTTTAAACAGCTTAGACAGCCGAATGCAAATGCGCCAAAAGTGCTCAAGGCCAATTGAATCTATATAGATGCTGTTTAGAGAAAATTACCCATCTTCCCCACGTCCACTATTTTATTCCGTATCGAAAATTGGTGTTTTTTTAATGTTCCATATCCTTCTTGTTTTAACTTTACTCTCGGGACAAGCCTTTGCGCGCGACTGGAGTCTTCTGCAACTGCCTTTTGGTCTGAAAAAGTTGCCCGAGGTGGATTTTATCTCGCTAATCGACCAGACGGTACCAAGGAACTCGGACTCTGTTCATTACTCGTCGCTTGCCAAAGAGGACTGGCCCATCGACTTTGACCAGTATCGGGACCAATACGTGTTGAGGGTCAATGTTGCGGCGAAAGAGGACCTGAGCACTCTATATGAGGCGGCTCACGAGCTAAATGTGTCTGTGTGGGAGTTTTCTGTGTCGAAGCGTTTCATTGACTTGCAAGTTTCAAAAGACTCTGGCGTAGAGTTTCTGCAGCACGTGACAGCTAGATGGCCTGATATGGACCTCCAATTGGATCTCGTTGTGCGCGACTTGCCGCAGACAGTGTTTGAAACGTACTCTTTTCCAGACGACGATGACGATTTCACTGTGCAGGAGGACCTCTTCTTCAAACGGTACAGGGACCTTAAGACCATCTACCAGTGGTTCGACCTACTTGTGGCGACCTATCCAGACCTGTTGGAGGTCGAGTGGATTGGCCAGACGTATGAAGGAAGAGATATCAAGGCGGTCAGGCTGACGGCACACAAAAGCGAGCCGTCGCCAGAAAAACCCCTAAAGACCCTAGTCATCACCAGCGGCATCCATGCCCGCGAATGGATCAGTGTGTCAACCTCGTGCTACATCCTGTATAGGCTGCTGCAGGACTATGAGAAAGGCAAGAAAAAGGCACGGCTGTACCTTGACAACATGGATTTCCTGTTCTTGCCGGTGATGAACCCTGATGGATACGAACATACGTGGACCACTGACCGTCTGTGGAGGAAAAATAAGCAACAGACATACAATCCAAGATGTTATGGAATAGACATTGACCATTCGTTCAATTTCCACTTTACGAAAAGTGAAGATTCTCCTTGCAGCGAAAATTACCCTGGAGAGGGGGCCTTTGAGAGTCTGGAAAGCAGCGTGTGGGATACCTATCTGAACGAGACAAAACACGACCATCCAATTTACGGATACATCGATTTGCACTCTTACGCAGAGGAAATCCTTTATCCCTACGCATACACCTGCTCCGAAAAGCCACGGGATGAAGAAAATTTGATTGAATTGGCGTATGGCCTCAGCCAGTCGATCAGACTCACTTCGGGCAAATCATACGCCGTGCTGTCTGCGTGCGAGGATAAAGGCTCGGATTTGCTGCCCGCCATGGGTGCTGGCTCTGCTCTGGACTACATGTACCATAACAAAGCCTACTGGGCGTTTGTTTTGAAGCTGCGAGATACTGGAAGCCATGGATTTTTGCTGCCGCCAAAATTCATCGTTCCCGTTGGCAAAGAGATCTACTCATCGATCAAGTATTTTTCCAGCTTTGTTACTGACAAATAGACACTATTTTTTGCCCTGCTTTACAATGGAAGTGATCAATTGGTAAGCCACCTCCGCGCCGTTTGTGGCAGTGATCTCAGCATGGTCGTATTGGGGCGACACCTCAACAATGTCGGCTCCAACGATGTTGACATCAATGTTTCTCAGCAGATAGAATAGCTCACGCGGAAGTAGTCCGCCGGACTCGATCGTCCCCGTGCCAGGAGCAAACCCAGGGTCCAGACAATCAATGTCCACAGACACATATGTGGGGTAATCTTTTGGAATTCTCTCGTTAATGGACCTGACAATTTCCTTGAGTCCTCCGAGACCATTGATCCAAATATCGTCTGCACTGAACCTGGCCCAGCCCTGGTCGTCGTCGTCCTCATAGTCCTCCCAGTCCTTGCCACTGATTCTTGTCCGGAGACCAATATGGACGTTATAGTTGTCACTCAGCAAATCCTCCTCGTTGGCCATCCACAACATTGATCCGTGAGTGAACTTGGACTGCTCGCTCGACCAAAACGAAGGGTATTTTGATGGCGACCAGGTGTCCAGGTGCGCATCAAAGTGGATGACGGCGACTTTTCCATACACCTTGTTTAGAGCCCTTAGGTGGGGGAGCAGGATAGAGTGGTCGCCGCCCAGTGCAACAAGCTTAGGAGGCCCAGAACCGTCCACGGCATTTTTCCGTTTCAGCAGCAGCTCCTCGAAAGCTTTGGTCATCTGGTCCAGAGCAAGCTCGTTGTCCATTGGGGTCACCGGGATATCACCACAGTCTATCACTTTTGCCCAGTCCTGGTAAGGGTTGATGCCGGCTCTGGTGTTGAATGCTCTTTTTGAGGTCTGACGCTGCGAGCCCGTTCTGATGGCCCGAGGACCGAACCGGGCGCCGCTGCGGTACGTTGTTGCCGTGTCGAACGGCACGCCAATGACCCCGATGTCGAAACTAGTTTCCGGGTCCACGAGACATTTCGTGTAGTTTAGGTGAGCAAAGGTCTGTATTCCGTTGAACGGCCAGTCCTCGCCCCAGAGCTGGTCCAAAGTGGGTTTTGAGTTTGAAGCAAATTGAATCGGGCTTTGAAAGCCCGTGGCCACTCCCATTGCGGCCAAAAGAGAAGTTGCAACGGTATGTCTCATGAGACGGCTATAAAAAAAAATTGGAACCAGATAAATAAATATATTAATCTTAGCGGCTTATCGTGTTTTTGGCGGAACTACTCGGGGGTCTGGAACTTTATTGTGAATAATTTAAATAATTTTTGACCTCTAGTCTGGTACCATGAAAAAAACCCGTGTCTCGCGACAAAAAAGCCGAAGCGGGTGCAACACGTGCAGGCGAAACAAGATCAAATGCGACGAACACAAACCTCAGTGCCATAATTGTCAGTCTCGGGGAATTGAGTGCGGAGGTTACACCAGAGTGTTCAAATTCAAGGAGATTAAATCTGCCCACGGGGGCAGATCAAAAAACATTAGCAACTCTGAGGAAACCGATGTTTTTCCCCTGCAGCCGTCCGATTCCCAGCTCTCGCAGGTGTTCCACCACGCTGTGCGGTCGATTACCGGCAAAACGTATGAACAGCTTGTTTTGGATCAACATCTAGCGAGAAAAGGGAAGAATCCGCAGCTGGCATCGGAACTCGAGTCTGTGCTCAAAGAGCTCTGCAGCAAGCCTAACTCCATGCTCTATCCACAGGACACTTCAAACACGCTTGTCAGCAACGAGCAGGTACCATTTTTACTTGAGATGCCTCAATCTCCAAATATATTTGCTCACTATCACAAGACTCAATTTGTGCTCAGCAATTTTGACATGTCCACTTCCAATGTGCTGTGTGTCTATGTTGCAGCGCACCTCAATCCCTGGCGAAGGGAAATCATGCCGCTAGTTGACAAATACCCAATAGTGTTCGACCTGCTAGGAATGATTGTGTGTTCTCACTTGGGTGCGAAAAATCCGGGAATCAAGGCAATGGGGCTCGAATTCAAGGTGCGTGCGTACCAGCAGCTTTCCCACGGACTCGCGAATAACCTCTTTCCTAATGACATCTGTCTTATGAGCTGCATTCTGCTTGCCCTGGACGAGTTCTGGGACAACAAGTCTCGCACGGACCTTTCGCATCTGCGGAGCGCCTCCTACTTTGTCGACCGTCGACTGCGCAGCCCGACGCAGGACCCGCGGTTCCAGTTTCTGCTGAGCGCATGGCAGTACATGCGGGTGATCTCACGAACTTCGCTACTTAATCCAGCCCTGGGCTTTAACTTTGCCTACCAGACACGTCTAGTCAGCGACGGCCACACCATAGACCATATAATGGGCATGTCTCAGGAGCTGTTCACAATTCTGGACCTCCTCATGGACGTTATCGAGCTGGTCAAAAACCTTCCTGAGCACGCATATCCTCCGAATCTGATCGCAAAGGTCTGTGGATTACAGTACGCACTTATCAACTGGGAGCCTCCAAAAACCGGTATGGAGCTGTGGACGCCGGAGGAAGTGGCTGACCACGAAGCTACTGCGCAAAGCTATCGCTACGCTACGCTGATTCTTCTCCAGAACGCGTTCCCGCAGGTGGAACGGTACCTTAGTCCTCGCGAGCTGTCCAACAAAGTGCGCGAGAAGTTGTCGACACTGCGTCTGTCGGGCGGCGCGTCGGTAGTGATCCACGTGTTTCCGTTGTTTATAGCTGCGTGCGAGGCTTCCACGAGGGAGGAGAAAGATTGGTTCCGCTCAAAAATGGCTGCTGTTTTTGATGCGATTGCGTCCAACAACATGAAGCTGCTATCCAGCGTCATGGAGGAGGTGTGGAAGCGCAAGTGTCACCTGAAGGCGCGTTACGAGTCGCAGAACATGTTTCTTGCTCCAGACGACCATCTGCTGAGCGGTCTTAAAAGCTATGCCAGCTGGTTTGCGGTAGCTGCAGACTGGAAAATCGATATCTTTGTGGGGTAGGGGTGTGCGAGAAGGGGTAGAGGTAGATTATTTTTTTTTTGTCGACGGTCGATGGATGACAAATTAGAGGGCCTGCAGAAATTAGTTTCAGGGCTACAGCAGAGTGTCGAGAGCGAGGAGCTTTGGAAGGGTGTGGAGGGTGCAATTGACAGCGCCATGGCGCAGTACAAAGCGCAATGGCTGGCACGACTGCGCAAAGAGCTCCAGCAGTATGTGGGTCACTGCAAAATGCGACTGGAGGCCATTCGGTTGCGCCAATTGTCGATCAAAAATATGCTGGCTCTCGCACAGTCCCAGGTGGATAGCGGCGACACCATAGATTCAAAAACTAGAGAGTTGCGCAACCTAAAAGAGCGCTTGGCCAGGTTGCGACGGCAATACCGTGCAAGGGTGAAGCTTGGAAATACGAGCGCGAGCTCTCCGAGTGGAAAAAAAGAAATACCAGAAACCGTTCGCAGATACCGACTACCCCGGGGTCCTCGCCAAAATAAGAGTCTAAGTCTCCGCGAGCTGTACGAGGCCTGGTTTGTGGGCAACGAGCGCACACCGGACCGAATGCCGATCGCCAGGGTCGTGCAGGAGTATCCGAACTGGAGCTCAACGGAAACGACGTATTTCAACCGGCTCAAACGTGTGGCGCAGCTGTTGCAGACCGTTGGCGGGGGCGATGTGGCTAGTGCGGTCGATAAGGTGGAAGCATATATGCAAGAGTACAAGGTTCCAGGAGTCAACGCGCTTTCGGACCTGTGCTCCAAGCAGAAGAACGCCCCGGGCATGGAGGAAGTAGTGCGACGGGTGCAGGAGTGCGTGGGCCGGAGGGATTTAAAGTAAAATAATTGTAATCCAATCAAATACCGCGTTTTCGCAAACAGTTACGTAAAATCTCGGTCCAAAAATTTTTCCTCCTTAATTTACGTATCTTCTTCTAGATCTCTTGCTAGAACACATAATATTCACGATGGCTTCTACCTACCAGACTCCTAACTACACTGTCAGTGACTACGCTAAATTCGCTCTTGCTGGTGCCATCGGCTGCGGTGTTACCCACGGATCGATGACCCCTATCGACGTTGTCAAGACCAGAATCCAGCTTGAGCCTACCGTCTACAACACCGGTATGATTGGTTCTTTCAAGAAGGTTGTTGCCAACGAGGGTGCCGGCGCTCTGTTGACCGGTCTAGGTCCAACTGTTCTGGGTTACTCCCTGCAAGGTGCCTTCAAATTCGGTGGTTACGAACTTTTCAAGAAAACTTTCATCGACTCTCTCGGCTACCAGACCGCCGTCCAGTACAAAGACGCGATCTACATCGGTTCCGCTGCCATTGCTGAGTTCTTTGCCGACATTGCTCTGTGTCCATTGGAGGCTACCAGAATTAGACTTGTTTCGCAGCCAACCTTCGCCAACGGTCTGATTGGCGGTTTCGCCAGAATTCTGAGAGAAGAGGGTGTTGGCTCTTTCTACAACGGTTTCACTCCAATTCTGTTCAAGCAGATTCCTTACAACATTGCTAAGTTCTTGACATACGAGAGAGCCTCCCAGGCCATCTACTCTTTCGTCACCACTCCAAAGGACCAACTGTCTTCCACTGCTGTCACTGGTATCAACCTCGGTGCTGGTGTTATTGCCGGATGTATGGCCGCAGTTGTCTCTCAGCCAGCCGACACTTTGCTGTCCAAGGTCAACAAGACCAAGAAGGCCCCAGGACAGTCTACCGTTGGTTTGTTGGCCCAGTTGGCCCGCGAGTTGGGTGTTAGAGGTTCTTTCACCGGTCTCTCCACCAGATTGGTCATGGTCGGTACCTTGACGTCTCTTCAGTTTGCTCTCTACGGCTCCATCAAGGGCGCTCTTGGCTGCCCACCTGCCGTCGAATTGGGTGCTGGTGGACACTGAACAGTTGTAAGATTACCAGTTTTCATTAATTGATCACATACACCTCTACTTGCTTATTCGACCATCATGTCTGTAGCGGCAAACGCGGGATTGCTGTCTCCGGTCTCACTCATCTCACGCGGCTGTTCTGTCTCTGGGACGCCCATGTAACTGTTCAGCTCTGCGTCCAGTTCTTCGACGGTCTTGCGACGCGGTTTCGGCTCTCTTTCGCGACTTCTTGCCTTCTTTCCTTTTTTGGACACGCTGATCCGCTGTGAGAGCGGAATCGCGTTCTCCACGCTGATAATCTGCCCGGCAGCTCTGCGTCCGTCGAATCTTTCTATGGCCACCTCGCAGTCGGCAGGGTTTTGGTACCCAACGAAAGCAACTCCCGTAGACTCGCCTCTGGTGTTGTATTCTATTTTGGTGAAAAGCAGACTTCCGATGCTCGAAAAAAGGCCTTCTAAGTCCTTCTCGGTTAGTTCCGGGTGCAGGTTCGACACGCGTAAATATGGTCGTCCGCCGCTGAGTTCCTCCGCTTCCTTGCTGCGTGGAAGAGGAACCGACGGTCTGTACGGTCTTCTGCTGCCCCTGGCTGGCATTCCACGTGCCTTGGAGACGCCTCTATGAGGCCTCTGACGGGACTTGCTGTGGCTCTTCCGCTGACCGCCTGGCCCACTGTTAATAATCTCGTCTAACGACTGTTCAAGAAGAGACATGTCAACAACTGTCGAGACAGTAAAAAAACAGAAATCCGCGTCGATCGACCGCGCAGCTGGAGCCCGGGAGCCGACTATGCAGAAGCCAACTTTGAGTAGCTCCACCCCACTTTTGCTCCGGTAAACAGGGGGTGAACTGCTCTCGGAGGAAGGCAGACGTGCTCAATCAGCCCGGGCGTGTTTGTCATCGCCAAGTATCCACTGATTTTGTATACGATCAGTAGGCTCTGTAAGCTGTCAAACTCCGAATGTTGCTGCATTGATCACCACAACGTTTGCCTGGTTATTTTCCCACTCTTCTACTCAGACTTTTAACCCATCTACTCCTACCCATACCCCTAGCCGGTCCCGCATAGGCTATCCTTAAACCTCCAACCCAGGTTGCCCCTCACGACATCCGGAGGAACAAGAGGTGCTGCAGTTTTTTTTTTTTGAAAGGTCATCTACTTTTATTGTATCATAATCGTGGGGCAGTGATATAAATACCCCAAGACAGCCGGATTTTTTATCCCTTAAATTCCCCAAGACTCTACAAGATATGGTTAAAGTTACTGTTTGCGGAGCTGCTGGCGGCATTGGCCAGCCGCTGTCCCTCATGTTGAAAATGAACCCCTACATAAACGAGCTATCCCTGTTCGATGTCGTCAATGTTCCCGGTGTTGGCACCGACCTGTCTCACATTGACACAGACACCAAGGTCTCATACCATCTGAAATCAGACGACAACAACACCGGACTTTCCCAGGCTCTCAAAGGCTCGAATTTCGTCATCATCCCCGCAGGAGTTCCCAGAAAACCAGGAATGACCAGAGACGATTTGTTTAAAATCAACGCTGGTATCTGTTCGGAGCTTGCAACAGGCATTGCCGAGACCTGTCCTGATGCCACCGTGCTGGTGATTTCGAACCCTGTTAATTCCACCGTGCCCGTGTTCGCAGAGGTTTTCAAAAAGAAGGGTATCTTCAATCCCCGCAAATTGTTTGGTGTCACCACGCTAGATTCGGTGAGAGCGAACACTTTCATCTCGGAAGTTGCAACCAATGAAGCAGACAAGGCCCCTAGCGCGTTCAACATCAGAGTTGTGGGAGGACACTCAGGTGAGACGATCGTTCCTCTGTTCTCTGTTTGTGCTCCCCATGTTTACGCTTTGGAGGATGAAAAGAAGATAGACGCTTTGGTGCACAGGGTGCAATACGGCGGAGACGAGGTTGTTCAGGCGAAGAACGGCGCAGGCAGCGCCACGCTGTCGATGGCATACGCCGGCTACAAGTTCTTGCACGCAGTCCTCGCCGCATCGACGGGAGATACAACGATCATCGAGTCGTCGTACGTGTACTTGGATGACTCGATTCCAGGTGCCAAGGAAACCAAAGAGATTATCAAAGGACTTTATGGTGGGGAGTCGCTAGACTACTTCGCGATGCCCGTCGTGCTGAGCAAGGAAGGAATCAAGGAGATTAAAAGTGACATTCTCTCCAGAGTCAACAACAAAGAGAAAGAGCTGCTTAAGATCTGTTGTAAAACGCTGGCGGGAAATATCGCCAAGGGAGCCAGCTTCTCGCAATGATGTCCTATTTATATTTTTTCATATGATGATTAATTCATTCTCCGCTATCTAACTTAGATGTAACCGATCTTGTTGGCAATGTCGAGAGCATCGTAATCAGCAGTGAGTCTGACGTAAGCCTTCTTGGTTCCATTTGGTCTCACCAAAGTGTTCACCTTCTCAACGTCGACCTCGTAAAGCTCCTTGACGGCTTGCTTGATCTGGTGCTTGTTGGCCTTCAAGTCAACTTGGAAAACCAAAGTGTTGCCGTCCTCAACCTTCTTCATGGCAGTCTCACTGGTGACAGGTTGGACGATGATTTTGTAAGAGTCGGCTCTTGGGTAGTGAGGCACAGACTTGGTGTATTTTGGCGATCTGGCAAGTTTCAGGGTCTTTGGCAGTCTGAAGGTGGTCGACGTTCTCACCTTGTTAGCCTTCAGCGAGTTAGAACCCTTGATGGCAGCCTTTTTGGCGGCTTGAGCTTTAGTTGTTGGAGCCATGTTTGTTAAAGATATTTTTCAGCTAAAATTTTTCAAATATATGAGGGCACTCAACCCGTAATATTTATCACGTGATACAAATATATACGTTAGAATTCAGGCTATATATACAGCGGCACTACAATCTTCTTGGCGTTGGTCCCTGGACGCCACCAAACTTGATTGGAGTCATGTCTGTGAGCTTGCACACATGTTCTCTCACACCTAGTCCCTCTTTTCCCTTCAAGGCGTCGAAAAAGGCTCGCCTGCCCTTTCCAAAGTCCTTAACTACCACCTCGAGGTTCACGTCTCCTTTGAAGTACTTGCGTTCTCTGATTGTGCGGAAAAATGCTGATGAGAGCTGGTATGCTGCTTCATACTCTCCTCTTTGGGCTCCACGGAACCCGATAGAACCTGTATTCAATGTGTAGACGGTTTTTTCTGGTAATGTGAGATAATAGAGCACTTTTTCGTTGAACGACAATTGCGGGTTATTCTGCTCGAAATTCTTGTCGTATTCAACCTTGGTCAGCGTCAAGTGGGAGTTGTTTTTGCGGAACAAACCGTGAAGAACAAATTTCACGAGCTTCATCTGTGGCGCTTTCTTCCTCGCCACCTGTGTGTCGCCCTCGGTCTTTTGCTCATTCAAAATGGATCCAAGCGTCGATGCAGACGATTGCTCCTGGCGAAGAGAACGAAAGGTGCCAAATGAGCGTGTGAGACCAACTCTGTTGAGAACTCTGATCATGATGCGAATTAATTTTCTATTCAAGAATATTTCCTTTTTTTCCCGGTGCAAAGATGACACACCTAATTGCGCGACACAATGTGTGTCTTGTTTGTTTCCGGAGATTACTCAAAACAAGATCTACTAGCTTTAGATTTCCACCACGGTTGCTGAATCGTGGACCAGTGCGCTGCTTGACTGTGTGAAAAGTCGTTACGGTTTCTATAGACCTCAATTTTGTCGAATAAAGAGGAATAAGTTTCCCCCAAAATGGCCATTGAATATTTGGTGGAGGAGGTTACCAACAACCATACCAACGTCACCAAGCCCATGATAATCAAGGACATCGCCAAGATCGGCGAGGGTGCCTTTGGAACGGTGACACAAGCCCAACTGCGCAACGCCACGGCATCCGAAGACCAGTGGCTCGGGCCATTTGCCATCAAGAAGGTGCCAGCACAGACCGAATACAAGAGCCGAGAATTGGAGATCCTGAGACAGACGTCCCATCCTAATGTCGTCTCCTTGAAATACTTCTTCAACTACCCCAACGCAGAGGACCGTGGTAAGCTGTACCAGCACTTGGTGATGGAATCTTTACCCTGCACGCTTCAGACGGAGATCAAAAGATACCACAGTTCGAACCTGATATTACACGAGTCGCACATCCAGGTGTACTCTTTCCAGATCGCTAGAGGCATGAATTACCTGCATAGTTTCGGAATCTGTCACCGGGACATCAAGCCGTCCAATATCTTGATTGACCCAGACACCTTAGTGCTCAAGATCTGTGACTTTGGCTCTGCGAAAAAACTGGAATACAATCAGCCCTCTGTTTCCTATATTTGCTCAAGATACTACCGAGCTCCCGAGCTGATAGTTGGATGCTCTCTCTACACTACCCAGATTGACATATGGGGGCTTGGTTGCGTGATTGCTGAAATGTTTATCGGCAAACCTGTTTTCCAGGGCCAGGACCCAATGCTTCAACTCAGAGAGATCTCGAAACTTCTGGGACCACCGGATAAAGAATTCATCTACGAGAGCAATCCTAGCTACAATGGGCCGATGTATTCACACAGATTGTACACGTCTAAGGTAAGCACCCGGTTCCAGAAAACTTTCTCCCATGCCAGTCCCGTTGCCGTTGATCTTCTTATGAATCTGCTTGTGTACCGTCCACAAGACAGACTCCGTCCGCCAGCTATTCTGGCTCACGATTTTTTCAAACCGCTGCGGTCGCCGGATTTCCAAGTTATCAGTCGCACCACCAACTCCCGAGTCGATGTCCACAATATGCTATACAATTTCAGCGACTACGAGTTACGTGTCCTTGGTGATGCGGTAAAGGAAATTCTTGTTGATGAATCCTGAGTATTTGCATTACAACGCCAACGAATAATTATAGTCCTCTTCCACGTTTTGGACGACCCATAAAATAATACAGCTTAGCGTGATGCTTCCTGTTGCGTAAATGTTTTCCAATGCCATTCCCAGCGTGGGCATGGATGTGTAGCCTTTGATCACGTATTTCAGAATGACCAAAAGAGCACTCCCCGACATGCCCACAGCTAGGAGGGTGCATCCAATGAACAGCACCAGACGAGCCTGCCATCTGATAGAGCCGCTGCCGAAGCTATCCGACGCCATTAACTGCTTTTTGTCGATCATATTCACAGTTATGGTGCCCAAGGTGCTGCAAATGAAAGGAATCCAGTCCACAAAGGTGACGTGGACCACGGAGGCGTTGACAGTTTTAGAGAAGATGGAGGCGTCCACCATTGCCCAGAAACCAATGGCATATAATGCTCCTGAAATATAGATGGCCGCAGCTTTTGCAGCCTGCGTGTTGGGGAAGCGCAAAATAGGAAAGCGGAACAGCCTTTGCGACTCCATACTGAGATGTTAAAATAATTTAATTACATACTAATATTTTTTTTAAAACCTCTCAATCGGCTCCTCTATGGTTATAAGAGGATCTTTAGACCTTTGTTTCAGCCATTGAGGCACGAAACGGCTCTTTTCAAGCTCTATAACACCATTGAACACAAGGGTGCCATACAAGAGAAGGCTGAACCCCACGAGTTGCAGTGCTCTGAACTGCTCCCAGCCGATACTCAACGACACCAGCCACACAAGCAGCGTTCTCGAGGTATCAATGGTGGAGCGGGAAGTGGCATTGAGTCTGTGTGTGAGAGAAATGCCAAAGAAATTAAATGACGAAATGCAGAGCATGATGAGCAACGAGCTGAGCAACACCCGAGAATGCGTGAACATGAGTTGCAGAGCATACACCATATCCCATGCGTCTTTGGATGACTTGTGCATGAATGCCTGGCCAAAAACCATAAAAATTGTGGTTGCAAGTGCACCATATATACCTTCGTAGCCAACGAGTCTCAGAGGACTCACCTCCAGGTTGGCTAGGATGCTTTCCTCGATCACAAACTGGGCCGCGTTGCACATGATACCAAGAACAATTATGAGCATTCCGAATACCACGTTGCCTTTCTCGACCTGTATGAGCTCCTCACCAGATTCGATCGACCCGCTCAAACCAACGATGAATACCCCAAAAACAACTACAAACAAACTGAGCCATTCGAGCTTGGTAATGGTCTTGTGCAAAGCGGTGACAGAAAACAGCCCGACAAACAAAATGACCGATCCCCTTGTCATCTGGTAGATTGAAACAGGCGTGTACAACAGTCCGACGTTCAGCAGGGTCGTAGCGGTAAAGTCGCACACAGCAGGTAATGAAAGCACAAAGGACTCGCGTACGGTGTTGATACTCTTTTTTCCCAGCAAAGGGGCTTGTTCCGCAACCTCTGCAGATCCCCTGCGTGCACGATTTAGGAAAACAGGAATCCAACACAAGATTTCTCCCACAAACATTTGCAAGGTTTGTAATACAGGCTGCTCAAACAGAACCTCTCGTCCCGGTTCATCACAGTTTTCTATGCACTGGTTGTCCTGATACTTGGTGATTATGGAATTCAGGCATCCAGCAATCACGGTTCCTGCGACCAGGAGCAGGAGCTGGCGTTAGTCCAATCTTGTGATGACTTACCCCGACGTTTTTAGCCATGTTTTTAAAAAAACTGGCTAATTATTTTTGATAGACAAATAGTTGTGGCAGTGTAACGGTTTACCCCTTATCTTTGCGGTATTAAGAAATAATTACAAATAGTCTTGAATTTAGTCATGTCGAAAAGAAGATCGTCCTTGTCGCAGCTATCGACACTAGATGACCTCGAGGGCTTTCGATCAGAGGCTAGGGAGTCCATAGAGAACACTAAGTGCTTTAGATGCTCAAAGAGAATTCCGACCCCCACTGCTTCCAGGCGTCGAAGGTCCTCCTCGTCTGTGGTCTTTTCTGAATTGATAACATCATCGGAACCACTCCCCTTTACCATGAAACTTTCGGCCTGCTCGCAAACGTATCAGAAGCAGATCATGTTGCCATTCATGGCCTCATTCATGAAAGACATATCCGATTCGCCCTATTTTGCAGAAATCAATCTGAATGATTACTACATTGCCAAAGAAAAGGAACGCAGCTCGAAAGGCTCAAAACGTAAATTTCCCGGTCTCGAAATTCCAGTCAAGGGCAAGTTACAGCTAATTATCTACAATAACGAGAAAAGTGTCAGCTCATTGTTGTTCTTCCCTTACGACTTATCAAATTTGAAAGAAAATCATAAGAAAATCATCAAATTCCGCAAAAATAGCACAATCACGTATCATTCAGAGTCAGACAAAGATTTTAGAATAAATATCAAGAAACTCCATAATGAGCTTGAGTTCAAGGCGCTGAACTACAAGAATAAGAGGTTCTACGTGTTTGACTCACTGAAAATAACATTTGCTCCAGGCTTTTTGTCAGAAAACGTTAAGCTGCCATTAAGCGCAAGTCTACCTGAGTTCAAACACCATCAAATTAACCCGAAAATACCGCTATACCCACAGAGCTCCAAGACTGATATCGAGACAGTCGAGTCTGGAGAATACCCCGTCAACCTCTCATATTATATCCGCCAATGTGCTCATTGCGTTGACCATGAAGATGACGACGATGAATGTGTACAGTTTCCTTCTTTCACATACGCCTAACGACAAGCAATCAGACATATAACTCGCGGAAAAAGTAGTTACCTGTCAGAAGCCGTTTACAATCTTGCGCCACGCAACGATTGGGAGCCGAGTACTCCGGATCGTTCAGATCCAAGTGTTCCACCCCAACTTTGTCCAGGTCGGTTTTTTTCTTCTTGGGCCTGGATTTGCCCTTCTGTTTTGCGTATCTGTTGATGTTGTTGATACATCTCCCACAGTAAACATGGCCACATCTACCGAAAAACACCTTGCGTGAAAGGTCTTTGTCTGCGGTGGTGAGGTTCTTAGCGAATTGCCATGGTGACATGAACTTGTCGTGCACCACGAGCTTGCGTTTCAGTTCCATATCGGTGCTCGTTTCGAAGTCGTCTGGGATTCCTTCAACCAATGGAACGCCACAAAGAATGCACACGGAAGTATCTTTGGCTGAAAATCCATTCGAAAACATATTTCTCTGTTCTTCAGATATCTGTGCTTTGGTTTCTTGTGTCATTTTCATCTTGTTCGCCATGTTTGATCTCATTCTGACACGACGATCTTCCTCTTCCTGTTCTCTGCGTCTGATTTCATCCATTATACTATGGGGTATTTCGTCTTCTTCGCCCTCTTGTGCACCAAAATCGACTTGATGTGCGGCCAAAGGCATAAATCCCATTCTGTTTAGATGTCTGACAAACGGTACCCGCGAGCGTAAGTCGTACAGCACTCTTGAAGCTATCGAACTGTCACTATCTGTTCGTCCAAGTCGAAAAGCGTTCACCATCCAGTTGTTGCGGAGGACTTCGTTGATGTATTCATTTGTTAAATGCGCTCTTTGATTGTTCGCTCGTCTGGGATACCGGGGGCGAAGTCGCCGGCGAGGTCTATTTGCTGCTATTGTCCGCTGTGTTCCGGATATTCGCACAGACTCATCTGGTTGGAAAACGGGCCCGTTGGGCTGGTACAATGTGAAACCCGGCCGTTGTCTGGAAAAAGCCCTTCTTTGTGGCGGGGCCAAAGTCTGTTCGCCTGTGATCTCAACATCTCCATCTGAGTGAGCCTCTTCAGCATCGGACAGAATCACTATTGGGTCTTCTGCAGGTGTGGTAGACCGGTCCTGACGCCTTTGCCGCACACGACGCCTATTTGAAGTAGAGACCACAAAACTGTCTTCAGAGTCGGAAAGAAGCTCGATGACCGAATTCCGTCGACTCATCAAGAGATAATATTCTGAATACTCCGCTGCGTGGTATTTGCTAAAATAAGAGTGGCCTTTGTTCGGAAAGTATGGCTTGTAATCTATAACAAAAAGATTTGTTTAAATTTTGAGCTGCAAAGTATTTGCTGCACAGCCAGACGTTTTTTTTTACAGTTCAAACGCACATTATTCTGGTACAAGGTACACCTCTATAAGCCTTTTACAATCCGCTTCTCATGTATCTTCCAACCACGATACAATGATCTCTCTCGTAAGGCTCTAAGGTAAGCTGCTCCAGAGGCTTTATTCTCTCCTCTCTGAGCTTTTGCACCTCCCTAGCGAAAACGGTCTCTGCGTCAACAGTAGAGTCGATACAGTTGGCCTTGATGGAAATGACCACTCCTCCCTTGTCCTTGAGGAAAAGATGCGAGTTCAGGGCAATAATTCTGGCCTGATCTGGCTGGGCAACGTCGGCAAAAACAACGTCCACCATACCGATCAACATTCTGTACTTTTGCGGATGTCTAGCGTCTTCGATGATAGGAATGACATTCGGTCTCTTTTTGGCCATACCGATCAGCTCTCTGCCCGGTCTATGCGAAAACTCAACAGCATACACAATACCTTCTGGTCCCACGACGTCAGCGACGTGGGAAACAGAGGTACCGGAAGCTGCTCCCAGATAGAGCACCTTTTTGCCAGGAGCGATGAAAAGCTCATCCAGCCCTCCCATGATACCTGCAGCAAGCTTGGATCTGAAAGGATTCCAGACTCTGTACTCAACCTTGGTAGCTGGAGCTGATTCGTCTTTGGAAGGCTCATCCACAGTTATTCTCTTTTCTCCGTACACAGACTCACCTGGTGCGAGATTCTTGGTCACCAGCAAATCCTCTTTTCCTCTTGCAATATAAACTCCCGCGTGTCTGTGTGGTTCGATTATCACCTTGGCTCCAGCTTTTCCACCAGCCTTTCCACCTCTGGCTCCACCTCTTCCACCTCTAGCACCACCTCTTCCACCTCTGGCTCCACCTCTGCCACCACGGGCTCCGCCTCTTCCTCCACGGGCTCCGCCTCTTGGTGCTCCTCTAAAACCACCACGACCTCCTCTGCTGCCGCCTCTGCCGCCTCTGTCTGAGAATGCCATAGTTAAATTGTTATAATAAAATCAACTTTGAATTTTAACAAAAATTTATTTAAAAATTTTTCAATCCAAGGAGGGTAACTAATGGGTAGATAAACGACCCGATAGTGCTAAAAAAAAAGATAAATACATTATAACGCGTCTTTGCTATGCTCGCCGATCTGAACAGAAAGTACCTGAACACTTTGGAAAACCATCCACTTGCCACCAAGGTGCTAACTGCGGCAGTACTAAACGGACTAAACGAACAACTAGCCACGTACTTTGCTGGAGAAACCAGAAAGTCAACTATTAAGATCGGATCCAAAGATGTGCAGCTATCTCACTCTGTCACAAAACGCGTCCCTTTGATGTTTCTGTATGGCCTTCTAATCAATGGGCCTTTCACCCATTACGCGTACAAACTACTACATTTAGCTTATCGTCCACCACTTGGCCCAAGAAAAAGACTAGCTCAAATCCTCACCTCCATGGCGACTATCACACCAGCCATCTCAGCTCTTATGATTTCCTACATTTCGCTGATCTCTAACATCGATATCACGAATATTAAGGACTTGTCCTCTGCCAAGGCAGAGCTACTGGACGTTCTTCGGAAAATTAAGGTCGCGCTACAGACGTCGCTGGTCTCGGTGATTCACTCCTCGTGGGTTTCAAGCCCTATATTCATGCTTGTGGCCCAGAGTTTCCTCAAGCCTAACCAGTGGGCCGTGTTCTTCAACTTCTGCTACTTTGTGCTGGGCACTTACAATAACACCATAATTAAGCGCAGGCTAAAAGAACAGAACAAGAATGAATGAGCTGGTCTCGTTTTATATTACACGTTAATTACAATCGTTGCTGCTTTCTTCCTCCTCCTTCTCGTCGCCAGTCACCCCACAACTTGGTTTTTTAACCTTCCGCATCGGAATCACCGCCTCAAAAACGTCTTTCCAGCTATTGAACTCTCGCTTTCTAATCAACATTTCCACCACATGCGACGTGGCAAGAACCCGACGGCCACTCACCTTGATGTACTCGTCTATTGGAAGCCTTTTGGTGGGAATTCCTAGCTTGTCTGCCTTATTCTTGCACAACAGTTTATGACGGCCCTTGTCCACAATGCCTCCAACAATGTACGTCATTCCTGGCTCCAAAGTTTCGAGCTTTTCGTCTGTGTCTGCCGATAGATACACAACCTTTGATAAATCCTCTGGTAGCACGCTCTCTAACGCTTTCTCGGTAAACTTCATGTGCTCTGGCTTCCAGTTCTGGTAATGCGGGAGCACGCGATCGAACCGCTCCTTCATTCGGTTTCCAAAAGACGTTACTAGTATATCCACTCTGTAGGGGTACTTTTTGTTGTCTGCGTAACTAGTCACCAACTGGTTGCTCATGGACACTATCTCCTTTTCAAGCATCAAACTGTCAAAGTCGCAGTCCACAATAACCGAATAGCCTGCTTCCTGCTGCTCGATCTTGTCGCGCTTTGGCTGATGGGCATTTTTCAGCTTCCTGGTCTCCTTCAAAGTTTTCCGTTTGTCTCTGCGCTTTTCGCGCATTTTTTCCCTATTTTCCTCCCATCGTAGCCTCTTCTGCTCCTTTTTCCACGCAGACTTGCTCATTCCCTCTGGAATGGCCGGTTTCTGTCTCTGGTAGGACTTCTCCATTGGCAGCAGTATAGAAAAGTATTTTTCCAAGTCGATCGACGCGACGTCAAAATTTTTTCAGTTCTGAAACTCCACATTGCTCCATGGCTCCTCCTCCGAGCCCCCTTATCATAGATGCCCAGGCAGTGTCCGGGATCACCGGCTCTATCTCGATTGCCTGCTGGATTATTGTTTTTGCGCCGCAGATCTACCAGAATTTTGTGCGCTCGAGCGCCGAGGGTCTCTCGCTCATGTTCGTTGTTCTCTGGCTGCTCGGCGACCTCTTCAATGTTGTGGGCGCCATTTTGCAAGGCGTTCTTCCCACCATGATTGTTCTGGCCATCTACTACACTCTTGCAGATGTGGTTCTTCTCTGGCAGTGCCTGGTCTATGGCCATGGCAAACCAAAACATGTCGACCCTATCCACCTATCTCCCGCCAATCCGCTCACCGAGCACGAGCCGTTGCTTGAAAATGTGATTAGTCGCGGTGAAGAAGATGCTGCAGACACTACCGGCGACGTGGGAAGCTTCAACGACATTGACGGCGTGAACATGAACACGTCTCAAGAACGCAGCAAGGAGCTGTTCTACAACCTGCTAATGGTGTTGCTCGTGGTGGTATCTGGCTTTGGCGGCTGGTTTTTCGGTGGGTCGAGAGACAACAACTTCCCGCCGCCAGACGACGAGAGTCTGGTGTTCAATCCGCTTGCCCAGACATTTGGCTGGCTTTGCGCAGCCCTGTATTTGGGGTCTCGGATCCCTCAAATCTTGCTCAACTTCGAAAGAAAGTCTTGCGAGGGCATTTCGTTCATGTTCTTCCTTTTTGCATGTCTTGGAAACATCACCTACGTGGTGTCCATTCTGAGCGTCAGCACAGGCTACAGATATTTGTTGGTTAATTCTTCGTGGTTGGCTGGGTCTTTAGGGACCCTGGCGCTGGATTTCTGCATATTCATACAGTTCTTTTTGTACAAGCACGAAGAGGAGCTAGAGGAGTTCGACACGGACGACGAGACTGCTCCCATCGCCTCGTCCACACGCTCTTACGACGCTGCCTGAATTATGTACACCTAGCACCATTGTAAAACACGAAGACGCGTTACACCAAAAAAATAAAAATCCATAAGCAATAGTGGCATGTCGAGCATCCGTCCAGAGCTGAAATTCGCCGACGATCGAGACCAGTCGTCCTTCTACAGCAAGTACTTCAGACTGCCTCCAAAGTCGGCGCGCACTCTGCGCGTCGTCGACAAGGGCGAGTACTATATCGTTCTGGATGAAGACGCGGAGCTGGTCGCCGATTTGATATACAAAACCCAGTCTGTCGTGAAGACCGCGACCGCAGAGAAGCGTACCGTGCAGTACATCACGCTGTCGCCCGCTGTTTTTGCCAACCTGCTGAAATTGGTGGTGGTGGACTCCGGCCACAAGCTGGAGATATATTCCAAGAACTGGGACAATATGCGGACTGCCTCGCCGGGAAATCTTTCAGAAATTGAGGAGCTAATCAACACAGCTGATCTGAATGCTGTTTCAATCTTGGCCGCTCTCAAGCTCGTGAGCTCTTCCTCTGAGGGCAAGAAGTTAGGACTTTCGTTCTACGACCCGAACGCAAAAACGCTAGGAGTGACAGAATTCTACGACAACGATCTATTCTCGAACCTGGAGGCCCTCTTGATCCAAACGGGCGTCAAGGAGTGTCTGGTTCCTGCGTCTGCATCGTCCGACCCCGATATGGAGAAGATCAAACAGCTGATCGATAGATGCGACATTGTCGTGTCTGAGGGCCGTTCGGCGGACTTTTCAGAGAAAAACATCGAGCAGGACGTTGCGCGATTGACCGGAAACGAGCTCACGCTTTCGTCGAACGAGCTCTCGTCGCTACACGTCGGGCTCGCCTGCTGCAACGCCATTCTTGTTTATCTCTCGTTGTTGGCTGACCAGTCCAACTTTGGATCCATAAACGTGGTAAAGTACGATTTAGAGCAGTTTATGAAGCTTGACTACGCGGCTGTGAGAGCCACGAACCTGTTTCCGCCGCCAAACTACAACAATACGATGAATAAGACGTCCTCTCTTTTTGGGTTGCTCAACAACTGCAAGACGGTGGGGGGCACCAGACTGCTGTCGCAGTGGCTCAAACAGCCCCTAGTTGATGTACAGGAAATCCAAAACCGTCACTCTATTGTTGGCCACCTTATTGACGACCTGAACCTGCGCGAGTCTCTGCAGACGCAGTTTTTGAACGAAGTGCCGGACATTTCAAGACTCGTGAAAAGGCTGGCCAATCCGCGCGGAACCAAGTCGCTCGA